ATCCCAGGTGAGCTATGGTCAAAACTCCTTATATGGCCTGTGGTCATGGTTCTCTAAATGGGAATCATTATAATGGATATTAAAGGATCCTTCCTATCAGGTGGATGGATGACCGTGCCTGTTAAGCCCGAGTAAAGGGCTATGGCGCATATGTTGCACCGCTTTGAAGTCGATTTACATTGTCACTCTGCCAAGCCAGCCCCGCACTGCTACCCTGCCTGCGCAAGCGCTGCGGGGATCCTGGCCAGTGGTTCAAGCTGGGCCAGATCAGCGCACAGCCCACTTCAGATTGAGATCGGACCTCTGAATTGAGTGCACTCTCATGAGTATGTGATTTGAGCCAAAGTGGCATGAGCAAACCTTGAAACATTGCCAATAACTTTGCTCACGGCCCATCACGCTGCGAATATCCAAACTTCGATCAAAGGCCTGGATTGCCAGCGTTTTGACTCAACAGAAATGATTCCTTCAAATAGCAAGCCTCTTGTGGGTTGCTTTCAAGGGAAGCCGCCAAACCCTCATTGGGTGCCGTCAGAAAATTTGAGCGGAGGAGCTTGATCAAAACGCCTTCCTGAGGCAAACTGTGGCTCTTCCCCCTCGAGGATCCCATCTGAGGCCACTTTTTAGGCAACCCTCCGACCAAGAAAACATGTCAGAGAGCTCAGAACTCGTAAGCTACGAAATCTCGCCAATGCTGGGGCTGCCTGGGTCCTTTTCTCGATGTTTTCCAGGCAGGCCCAGTGTACCCGGGTACAAGTGGCAAGTGGACTTTTCTTGGAGGGTCCGCCTTTCACCTGGCGAACGCCCAACCTTCCACGGCCACGCCTGTGTAGTTCATCTCCTTGGGCTCAGGGAAGAGCATCCAAACATGTGACCCTTCCGCCTTTCGAGTTCAATGGCTTGAACATCGCCAGGCTGGAACAAGCACAGCTAAATGGGGGCCGTGTGCAATGGGTTTGATATGCCCCATCCTTCCGGTTGGCGTCATTTTGGCACCGAGGACATCGAACGCGTCCACCCTCAAAACCAAAATGTGGGATCGTAATAAACTAGATAGCAACACATTTGCCCACCTGGCGTTTGCCGGACTGCAAACGCTTCATGTCAATTGCCGTCATACGGCTAGGACCACAGGGTTACTTGACGGTAATTTGGCCCTACAACCAAAACCATGCTTATACCCTTGTGGTGTACTCTGTGTCACACACAAGGAGATGTTGCGGGTTCACCAGAGTCCTATGTCCCAGAAAGGTGCCACCAAGTGCTGGCATCTCAAAGTGCAGCTGCGCCTTCTTTGGCTCCAGCACGTGGCTCGTTAACAGATGGGTCTCTGTTTTTTAAGGGTACCCCTTTTCTTGGGAACCCGAAAGGAAAGCCACCAACTTTGGGGGATCCATAAAGAAACAAAAATATATGCATCTGAGCTACGGCAGTTGTTGAGTTGCTTCATGGTTGAAGGGTCGGGCGTTCCCACCTCGTTCTGCAACTGTGCAAGCCACAGTTTCTTGCCCTCAAACAAACATCTGTGCATCCCACCCTATGCTTTGGACGTCTAGCCCTTGCAACCCGGCATAGCCCCACTGCAATTCTCACCCCTAAAGGCCTTTTTGTGTCTAATCACAATACTTTGCGAAATGTCTGGCTTCCCTTTGTGATGCCAACCCAAAAAAACTTGGAGTTCATACTCATGATTACGTCTTTGTGCAAAACCTTTGCAAAACACATCCGCAACAATCAGCCAAGGGTACCTCCCCAAGCAACGTCAGCTTGTACAAAATCAAACTGACACTGACGAAAGCTAATGGTCTGCGTCCCAATACAAAAGCAATTCACAACTAGTAGTATCTCCACAACACATTGTCCTCAATAAAGCTAATGATCTGGGTCACTTCCTGAACATGGATCCTAATATAAGAGTGATTCAAAAGGGTATTCTTCCCTTTTGAAGCAGCATTGCCAACATTCCTGAAACCTGATCCAAATACACGAGCAACTCAAAAGTAGCATTGCCGCTTTTAAAGTAGTATTGCCAAACTTCTCGCTATTTGAACGCAATACAACACCAATTCAAACGTCGGTTTGTCAGACTTCCTGGAAGCCAACCTAGCAATTCAAACGTAGCATTCCTACGTTGCTAGACTTCCTGGACCCCAACTCCAAGACATGTCGCTTTGAATCCTACCTGGACGAAATCCAACAATTTTATTAAAGGGTCAAAGTGAGGGCCCCACTTTGCTAGAGGTTACAAATTCGGGCCTACGGTTGCACTTCGCGGGTCTTTGGGCGGGGGATGAAAACTCGGTTGCTTTCTGCCCCCCTGCTAAAAGTTTGACTTTTAGTGGTTTAATGAAAAACCCATTGGCAAAAAGTGAAAGTCCTAACATCCCTTGGCAAAATACACCAATGAAAACTGAGCCAAACAAAAAATCGAAGCCCGTGCTCCGGCCGAGCTTCCAGGACCTGATAGACCGGCACCCTCATGACGTCCCCGCACTGCCGGTGGAGGTAGCACCACTTCGCAGCGGCGGCCTCGAAGCTTTGGAGTCCGAATCGAGCGAAGCTAGGTCTTCCAGTGAGGTTACAATAAGTTGGCACCCGTTTTTTTTAGATATATATATATATATATATTATATTATTTTTATTTTTTTGTCTATTTTAGTTGGGTCCCGAACCCTCCCAACCAAAAAAAGGGGGTGAGAAAGGGCACCTAGCTGGGGGACCTGGCTGATTGCTTTTCTCCGAAAGGCTCCCAATGTGAGAGCACCTTGGCAGGTTGAGGTATTGAGGTTGAAATGGAAGGAAGTGAAATGACGTGAGGTCGCACTAAACATAATTCAGCAGTTGAAGTCAGAGTCGAGCATGGTGTGACAGCGCAACCGCGCGCAACAAAAACAGGTTAATATACCTGGAAAGCCCCGGCCACCTTGCGGAACCTAGACAATGAGACTTCCAAATAAATACGACCCAACCAAAATATAACACGGCCTTACCCACGGTTTGGTACGTCTATTAAATGAACCTTGCTGCAAGGACTGAAACCCTCAACCGGCGCACGAATCTGCAGGAAACCAGGTGGAACCCAGAAAAGTAAAGCGGGGAGGTAAGCATAGGTGGATGTCCTAAAAACTACAAGTAAACCAACCACACTCAACCACAAAATCATGGTTGGGTACGGTATATTTGAGGGTTTCCTTGTTCCCCGACTTGCAATACTTCGGGCATCCAGCGTACCAGTTCTTTATTGGATTGCCTGCACTCGCTCGGATGTATCCACGCGCAAGCAAGGGTCAGCATCCCGAATAACACCCGCCCTAAACAAGACTGCGTGTGTCTTACCTCAGATGCCCAGAGGCCAGGGGAACAAAAGGGCACCTTTTGTTGTTGGTTCCGCCACATTGCTCAAGACCCCACCCCCCCCAAATTGGAGTGAGTGGAGCCCACATCCTGGCCGAAGCCAAAAATCAGGCCGTCCCACTAAGGGGAAGGGCTAAGAGTGAATTAAATCTATTTGGCAGGAGCATGAGTTGAAAGGGGAACCCTTACGCAAAAGAAGTTGAAAACAGGGCACCACTGCGCAGAGTTGCAACAGGAGACCCCCTATGGTGGTCTTCGGTTTGGCTTCCATTTAAACGCTGCACCAAGAGCAAGGTGTCCAAAACAACACGCATCCGGGACCAGCACGGGGCCACCCCAGGAGATGAATCGGCAGCCCCAATCGGCGATATCCTGTGGCAGCAGGCCAACTGGACTTCGTTTGGCTGTCAGCGGAAGCTTCCCAAGACATTCTCGCTTGCCACATTCCCAGGTGTCCTCTGTTCTTTGCGGCCAGTGACAGGGCTTCCACACCTAACCCCCTATCCCCGATATGAGAAACTTGGGTTGTCGCGCTGGTGGGAAGCTTGGGGGTGCCAAATCCAAACCCACCCCAAACAATTTGGCAGCCATCTATTTGGCCGGATGATGGCAGCCATGACCTACGTCCCAATTTACCCTGCTGCAGGCTGCCAAAGCCAGGGCCTGCTCCCGTTTGACCAACTGCGGGGTCGACTTTGATAATGGTCAAAGGGGACCAGTTGGTTGGGAGCTTACATATTTTGCGATCGTGGAGGCGGATGAGGAAGCGTTCTGTTTTTCAACGAGGATGGCAGTCTTTCGATCCGTGAAAATTGAGGCTGCATGTGCCATTTTCCTTGCTGGAAATTCCATGTCTGGCCACTGGAACCCATCTGCGTCCAGTGGATGAGCCCCATGCAAGAACTACAGTGATGACAGACTTGACGTCTGTTCTGAAACAAATGATATAAGGGGCTAAACATGCTTAGGTTGAATTTTGTGGTATTTGGAAACCAAATCGAGTCACGTGGTGCCAAAGTGGGAAAAGGTCGCAAACCCCTTATGATAATTTAGGACCGGTGCGCCCAACCCAGCGAATCAATACCTCTGAGATCTGCCGAGAGCTTTTCTGAATATATAAGTTGTGTTGAAATGTTATCTGATGTGTAAAGGACATTTTATCGGAAACGAGATCCGGTGTAAAGCCTAAATTGAAATAAAATAATTCCTATTCAAACTCTCATCTAAAATACATGGTATGATTGGATTCGGTTCTTATCAAAATGTACTCAAACCCAAATTGAATTGTAACATCTCATTTTGGCAAGGAACTCCAACTAGATGTCAAATTTGAGATATGATTCCAGTAGGATCTGGAATACGTATTTCGTTTTTGAGCTCCATTTAAAATTCCATTCACATTCTATACTATTTTTAGTTTAGAGCGGCGTTGGTAGACATATGAGTCTAGCACGACAACTGAAACAACGCACTTTGTTATACGATGGTTCCTGATGGGCTGGGGGAAGAAACGATTTGTGGACCATTGGAATCTCGCTTGTGAACGTATGAAATTCTACTCAATATCTTATTAAACTTCACTCAATTTCTAACTGAACTTGGATAGAATAAAGGAACAAGGACATACTCTAATGATGACATCTAGGTTGAATTAGAGCTTAAATAAGACTTACTCTATTTAAATGTTACACGGGATTTGCGTTCCAATGTCCGGTACAAACCAGTCAACATTTGAACGCACGTATCTCAACTAAGCAAAGCAAGTGAAAACAACAAATACAGACTTGCATGTGCTTGCATGCACAAGCAATCAAACTATAGCAAACAGTGCACTGCCACAGGCCCCGGTCTGCAAAACAAACAACGACGAGCACACTCACTAATTAGAATCCCTGGTATCACCAGCCAGCATCTCCAGCGCTCAACAAATGCAGGGGATGCGTCCTGGCACCCTGCATCCTCTGCGGCATTGGCAACAGCCGCTTGCGACTAGAAAACAGCAAGAATCAGAGCTGCAAAAGAAACAAAAGCACTAACTTGGGCGCAGTCCAGCGTGAATTTTGCCCGCAAAACGCTCTGCAAATAGGACCTTGCCCCCCCCCCATGAACCCCAACCTCCATCGACCTATAGGTCGCTTTCCGCTGAAATAAGGTCCAAGAAATTATAAAGGACCTTCATCTTGGCTAAAACGGCAATAGGCAGATTAGGAGCGCTCCGCTAACATGGCAGCAACGCACGTGGGACGTTGCCACCTCCACTCTTGCGGGATCCAAATGAACTGTACGGCTATCACCCACAGGCTCATCATGCTACATCCCCTATAGGCGATGGAAGGCTTGCAGGCCGACGAATCCTCAAAGTGGTTTCGCGGCTTCCCATGGGACCGATGGATCCCCGAATCTCTCGCGGATGCTAGGCTTCTGCGGAAGGCACAACCTCTCAAGATTTCACCCCGAGCATTCCTCTTTCTTGGAAAGTGGTTTCAACACATGTCCCAGCATTGACATTCCCGAGGTGACCCGGATGCCCAACAGGCTTCCTCCACCAAACAAACATGCAATGACGACATGACACGAGTGTTGTGACCCTCAGATTACCCTCCCATCAATTAGTATATGGAACTTGCAAGCGGCGGGGGGGTCCTGGAAGACCAGTTTCCTTTTAAAGGGATCCCCTGTCAGGTAACATGTTAGTCGGTGGGAGGGTAGAGCCCGAAAGAGCCTCGCCTCACAGGCCCGCTGGCATGTGGCAAGGGTCAGCGGGACGGCAGAGTGCCACCCGATGGTCACGTCTAACTCGTAGTTGCCCTGCGCAATGGAAAACATGGACGGGCGGCTGCACGTGGGATCGCACCGTTGGCCGTTTTCAATGTCCCTTCGAAGTGAAAAACACTTTGGCAACCATGGCAACCTAAAGAATGGCAAGGGACATCGGGAAACCAGTTGGTTGAGAGAACCTGCGCTCGGCTTTGCACTAATGTCACTTAGTCCTGAGTCCACCCCGGCAGTGTGAACATCATCGACCGGTTCTAAGCAAAAGCGAACCAAACTGACTTACCAGTCTGGGGGGCTCCATGAATGTTCAACCCAGCTCACCTAGGACACCTTTGGCCTTTGGAAGTGGGTTTCCCATTTCGGACAGCGGCACCAATGAAAACCATCTGGGTAAAGTACTATATCCAGGTATCTGACCTAAGAAATGGACAGCCAGAAACACATCTCTTTAATCTTTGCGAGGTCGTTTTCGGTCCCGCCGCAACTCTGGAATTATAACTTGCAGGTTCTCGGGAATGAACTTTCAGGACAAAGGGGACGGCCGGGATTCAGTTCCGGGGTCATCCCCTTCCTGTGAAAAAATATCATACCCCCCAAGAAAAACACAAGGTTGGTTTTGGACAAGGTTTCTACCAAACAAGGGGCAGCCTGCAAGCTCAAACCCTTCTCATGGACCCCTTCGCCTGGGGCCCTGAGGTCTGCTCGAGGCCGGGCTCGTGGCAGAAGTGCCCCGCCAGCTTCACGTGCCAGGCCTAGCCACGACTTTCCCCGCCCCCTAAAAAAGAAAGGCGCCACTTTGACAGCTGAAATCCTATTTTCTTGTATATAATGGGGCAAAGCACCTGCCAACTGGGGATGAAATATCCAGGATTCGCGAAAGATCTGGGATCGTTTCGGTTGACATTTCGTGAGTCCGTACCGCCCGGAGTTGCTCACGGCTCGTTTATTTTAGGGCCGGGGGGGGTTAGCCTGGCTTACATCTTCATGAGGGCAGGTCTTGGTCGGTTTATGGTTGTTTTCAGCTCAGCAAAGGGCTGACATCCAGGCTGCTGTTGGGCGGGTTTAGGGTGGACTTTGGGTGGGTTTGGGGTTGGCTTGGAGCTGATTTGTGTTAGGTGTGCTGTTGGTTTCACGGCGGCTTTAGGGTTGTCTTAGGGATGCGGTTAAGTGAGTTGTGGGCTAGCTTTGGTTCTGGGCAACGCTCCAAAACTAATCCTCAATGAGATGGTTCTTTACATGGTTCTGGGTAGACAACTTTAATACCAGGTGTGGATTACAGCATATGCACTTAAACTTGTGGCATACCTTGCAGCCTTTGTGAGGAAATACTTATCAACAGCACTTGCTTTGTAAACCACAGCCTGCAGTGAAAGGAATTGTACAAATCTAACTGCGCGTGAACTCAACGAGAACCACTAGAAGAACACACACACACACATCTTTACCTGGCCATCCCTTTTCGAAGTTACCATTGCCTGATTGTTTACACGGGTTTTGCCCAACCCTATCATATCCCTATACCTCTACAAGAGTATTTGCCCTTCGTCTCTATAAGAAGAAGCAAAGTCTGCTTCTTTCGGGAAGGGTTGCGTTTCAACACCTGCATGCAAATGGCAGTGGGTTGCTTTTGGGTTCGTTGGGCTTCCCCTGTTTCCAAAAGCTTTTGGTATCCACTTGAACATCCCAACGGGGGTTCCCAAAGGACCCATATGGTCCATTCGGTTGCGGCCAACCAACCGACCGACCAACTAACCAAGCCAGGGAACCAGACCAAAGAAAAAAACTAAAACCCAGCCCTAGGCCAAAAACAAACACCTCCTCCGTCTATGCGCCCAGCAAAGAAAGCAAGCAAAAAGGCCCTGAGCACTACAAAACAAGTAGACAAACAAGGTTGGTTGACTGTAGTTTAAACAATGTAGTAAAGTCAAGCATTGCTTCCGAACCCGTTTGTTCTCTAGCAATCTCTCATCTGGAGCAAGTCACTGTCTGACAGCTGTGTTCCTGTCTGACACCCGGTAGCCAAATGTCCATGCGAGCTGAAGACATGACGCATGAAGAGTTGAAGGAGGATAGTTGATGGTTTGTCATACAGGTCAATCCCACCAATCACTCTGCCAGAAGTTCGCCTACTATCCAACTGGCATTGATCAAGAGGACAGGATGGTCCAAAGGTTGGTAGGGGACATCCCCTTTTGATGGAAATTCCAAACACATCTCTCAGTAAATCCCTCTGCCAACAAAGCCTCCAACAACGCAACCTGCAAACAAACAACTAGGGACTTCCCTTATGGAAAGGCCCGCAAACATGAAGCAACATGATTATCCGTGGTGCTAGAGGTACAGAAAACCACCAAATCTCTGCCTACCCATCAAGGAAATGCCCATGGATCATGCCCCCAGTGACAGGGAACCAGCGCCGACTAGTGCCGCTTTGGAATAATCCGAAGTTGACATGGATGCAACCATGGGAACCAAGGCAACCCAAATTTTGGGGTGGGCCCTTGTTCTAGCATAAACCCGCCTCAGAGCCTGGTGGCAAACTGGGTCCATGGGGGATCTCATGGCATCCTGAATGGAACACCACAACGAGGGACACCACGCAATTCATTTGGCCAATAATAACAACCTCCAAACTGGGCGGCGAGTTCCCTTTGGTTTCATTCACTCGAAATCGAAACCCAACCGTACTTACTGCAAGTATTCTAAAAAACATAGTATTGCCCGATGAAATTAGATACAAATCTTGGCCAATATGTTTTGATGCAATTGTCTACAGATGCGGCTCAGTATTTCCCACGGGCAACGACAAGGAACCTCATTCACTCAGCGACGAAGGGAAACGCCGATTCTTTTCCCTGGCCTGCTCCGGTGCAGCCGCTTCCGTCGTGGTGGTCGTTGCCGCCTCTGTGGTGGTGACGGCGGTCGTCGCGCCCGTGGTGGTCTCAGAACCGGCTCGATTGAAGCCAAGCACGGCGCGGCTTCCTCGACCAAGCCCTAGACCTTCCAACCTCAGACTTGATTTAGGGCTTGTTTACCCCTCAACCCTTTGTTTTCTCCTTATTTCGGGTTTACACTATACTTGAGGGCGGGGTCATTTCGGGGTCTAGAGGAACACTGAGGAACATCCTTCGCACGAGCTACTCAGGAATTCCCTCTTGCCGAACAGCAACGCTTACGAGCTCAACCAGCTTTGCCAAGGCAACGTATGGCCCGAACAGCTAGCGGAGTAGTTGCTCGGGTGGTTTGTAACTGCCAAACTGGGGGCCAATATAAGACTGTGTGTGACTCCTTTAAACAAAAAATTGGTCGTCACTATGTTTGAAGGGTCATGGAGACTCCACAGGTTGTGGTGGCTTCTCGAAAGAATGGTGCAGATCACCATCGCTCCGCTCCAGGAGTCCGGAATCCTCCATAAAGCGGCCGGCTCATGGGTGAGCTTGTTGCACCCTGAGGTCGCTACAGAATGAAAAGATCCACTCGCAAGTGGAAAGGTGACCTCTGAGTTGGATCTGGCACGTTGAGAAGATGTGGGTGTGTCTGATTTAGGGGAACCCTCTTTTGGTTGGTTTTGCAGGCAAACCACAAGAACCTTAAAAGACACAGCCATGCCCTGACACGGCGCTCTGACCGTCCCTGAGCTGGCCAAAACTATGCCGAAGCTGGTGGCTCCGAACTCAAAGGAACGTGGCAGAACGTGGCACCAGCATTGGGGCCTTTTAGAAAAATAGATGGCCCTGGAAAATGGAATAAGCCCCATTTCTCCACCAGTGCCGTCTGTTTTTAACCAAATTAAACTAAAAAGGACACCTATGGGCACCGGTGGGAGTCTCCGAGTTCCAGCAGGCTGCCGTTTTGAGGCTAAGAGTCAGCTCAGGCGGCGACTGTGGTGGAAAAGCCCAGCCAGACCACCTGGCAGAAGCTCCGCTGAGGCCGAGTCAGCACTCCTTGGCTTTGCCCTACTCAACCCGATAGGAGTCTCTCAGTCCGGAATTCCATCAAGGCACACCCAAAGACGTGGAGATGAACAAATATGATGTTGCATATGTTGTCAACCTTGCTATGTGACATGTCTTTTTGTGATGAGAATCCAGGGTTTTGAAGAATGGAGTTGTTTGAGGCCTACGGATGCAATTTGGTCAGAAACCGAAGACGTGAAGCCTGACTTTCTTCAATACTTTCTGAGTGGATTGACCAAACAAGTGTAATCTCGTTGCCGCTATGCTGGCCCCTAAAAGAATAAAGGCCTTAAACTCAGGGAATGAGCACTTGGCCAACTAGCGAGATGCTCGCGTAGCTGGAGCGGAAAAGGGGGGGGGGGTTGGCCGGTCACGCGTCGCAGGAAATGTTAACCGCGGATCGAGTCAACAAAACGGGTTTCTGTGTTCAACATGGAGAGTTGGCCAATCCGATTTTCCATCCCTCGAAAACTACTGGAAAGGGGACAACATAAAGCAGGGATTGAGGCGGCCCATTTGAACAACCAAGGCTTTTGGGCTGGGAATCTTCCGGAAATGATTCTGATCTCGATGGGTTGCACCTGGGAATGGAAGGAATCGGGTAGGGAGTCGGGACGCCGGCAAACCAGACTGCTCCCGATGTTCCTTTCCTGGCGAAGGGGGCAAGAGGAGGCCACTGTGAGCATTGAATCATTGGGCTCGCCCTAGAGGGACTCTTTGTTGGGCGTCACAACCAGCTTCAAGAGATGATCATGCTCTTAGGCCGTCCCAAGTTTACCTAACACCAGGCCCCCAATGGACGCAATGGATGGAACCCCGGCTGTGAGGGGAAGGTGCTTCTTGGATAGGAATGCCTCAGAATCAAGAACCCATGGGCCCCGTGGCTCCAGCTGGGATTTATGGTGTCACCAGAGTAGCCCATGGCCACCAGACTGCCCCCAAACTTGATGAATGAATCTATCGGCGTCCGCTGAAACTGATCGATGTCATTGAGAGACCCAAGTGGCGCGTCTCTTCTGAGGGCATCCCCTTTTGGTTGGTTTTAAACGGAAACCAAAAGGAAAACCACCTTTTTGGTGGGTCCCCTAAAAGAAAAACACATTTCGAGGTGGGTTGGTTTCCCTTTCAAACCATCTGGGTTGCCCATTTCCCGGTGCGCCTCCGAATCATCGATCTCAGCGTCGGGAGGAAAGGTTGGAACCTGACAGCATTTTGGACGAGCAGGAAACCAGATTCCCCGTGTCGCTTATTCAGCTTCCCTCCAATTGGTGGTTTGGTGGTTAAGGGGTGGTGTCCCATTTATATACCCTCTACAAGCATTCAAATCCCCAAACCAAGGGCAACCTGATTTACTGGCGTCCGTTGGTTACCCACTGGACGGGATTGTGGCTTGGTCGCGCTGAGACGCTGCAAAACAAGTAGGGAACCCCCTTACAGAAAACTCAGGTCCATACCAGCGTTTGTATTGGCCAACTTGGGCCCGAAACATACCTTAAACAATACAAGCTGTTTTCCGCGCTCAGAGGTTTGGGGCATTGAGGACTCTCTCCTTGCCCTCCGTTTTGCCGGGAAACCAATGACAGCTCGGGAGCCCACAGCTTCCACCGATTGTCTCTCAGACCTGCAAACTGCAGACCTTCCAGTTGACTGTCAATGCTCTTAGCATTGGAGACACGCTCACTGCCCTCGGTGTGTTTCTCCGTCACAAGGGTCCACCTGATTCGCATCCTTCTTGAGTTAAGACCGTGTCGCCATTTTGCACCCTCTGGTCCTTGTGCATCGTTTTGCTCTGTTGGGTTTCCCTCGCTCACTTCCTGAGCGGCTTTGGCCACAATCCAAACTTGGTGCTTCCCACAACTCCCCCCCCCTCCATCTTTCCAAAGCGATTCAACCGTCAAAAAACAACATAGATCTTTCAAAGTAAAAAGAAGCGATCGAAGCCTTTACCTCCGTGGTGTTCCAAGTCTCCGGCTGTTGGAGGCACCGGCACCGGAGCGGCCGGCGACGCCGGCGCCGGCGCGGCCGGCGCGCGGCTGGTGCTCAACACCCCGCCTCGGCGCTCGAATTTTCGGCTTTTGGTTTGGTGGGATCGAAATCGCCCCGGCCAAAAGGACCTTTCGGAAGCACAAGTTTTGTTTTAAACTTTTTTCCGAAAGTGAACACAATGAATGAATATTAGCCTTCAAGCCAACCGCTCTCCAAATGAGCTGACCTCTCCCAAAGCGGCGGGCAACGCCAGTCTCACTTGCAACCAAACGTGGCAAGAACTGGCGGTTACCAGCAGGGTGTCTGCCCACTTGGTTGCAGGCGGAACTGGGAGTTCAAATCCCAAAGGTACCCATCCAAAGTCCCAATGCTCTGGGAAACCTGGAACTTGCGGTGTTTTTGCGCCTTTCACTTTCGTTTGCTCGAGCGAGAGAGAGAGAGAGAGAGAGAGAGAGAGAGAGAGAGAGAACAACAAGAAAGAAACTAGGGGGAAGAGCCGTGCTCCAAACTATAGTTCTTATATGTTTGAAACTCCCCCCCGTCTCCGCCGGTTTTGTTGGTAGTAAGAACGGTGGACATGACTGTGGGCAGAACGATGGAGACAATGGCCATCATGATAAATCAAACTAATTGGCAATCATTATGGTAAGAATGTCAGAATGTCAGAATGTCTGTAACAAAATGTGTGTGTGTGTGTGTGAACATGGTGGTCAAAACGGTCGCAAACACGGTGCTAGAACTGATGAAAATGATGGTAAACATGGGGTCAAGCATGGTGGCAAGAATGGCGAACGTGGTAGTGAACATCATCATCGTGCTGAACATGTTGTTGGCAATGGACAATTCGACATCCACAATACTTTTTGAGAACATCCTGCATTTTGCCTTCCAAATTCGGCTTCGGGTTGTGCACCCCAAAAACGGATGGACACTTCCAGGATGGCTCGTGTGAGGGGACCCGGATTTTTCATCCTCGGGACTTGCATGTGTTCCAGGGGTACAACCCAAACTCCCTGCCTTGTTGCCTTCCTTTCGCTGCTAGAGCTGTAGTTCAGTTCCTGTACCCAAGCCCTTTTTGAGTGCGTGAAACTCTTGACAATTGATATGCAAATGGTCGAAACAAGTCCAACGTAAGGTCTTACTTACCCAATAGAAACCCTTTAAGTTAGTAGCCTCTACTTCAAAGCGGCAAACGAGGCCATGCTAAGGCTAAACAATTAGTTCCAACAATTGCAACGCGCGCAAGCAGCTTGTCTTTTTGGTGTCCCGTTGGCATCTTTTTTGGGTTCCGCTTTGGGGTTTGTTCTTTGGTTCCCAAACAAGTTGAACTTCTGAACAAACATCTAAGTGCACAAGAACCCTTGTTGCAAGACGACTTTGTTTGAATAGATCCCCCATTCCGCGTGGGTTGCTCTCCTTTGGACCGATCGCGCAGACAGTTGGTCTACGTGTGGTCATCCTCATCTTCGGAGCAACCCCGCCCTCCGAAGCGGGGGCTTTCCATGCCAACCAGCTTCATTCGCAAGAGAGGAGCAGCCCAAAACCGCTGATGTTTGGTTCAACATGGCTGTGGATCATAGCCAATGGTACCATTTTGGGGCGGGTGCACCACCCAGTTTAGTCTATTTTAGCGGGGATTGGGATGTTCACTGGGGGTACGATTTGGATTTTGACCCTTGGCTACATGGTCGAGGAGCTGGCAAATGGATGTTCATCCACCCCAAAATGGAGCCACAGGTTATGCCCCAAGGCCATTCCCACGGCTTGAGCCCACGGCTGGGTGCCGAGGTGGGCGCCACACTGGGACTGGGAAGTGAAGGCGCCTAAGGCGGACACATGGGACCCGAGAAAGCCAACAGAAAGAACAGGAACAAAACCTAGTGAGCCACATTGCTTTTGTTGTTTCATCTAAACCCAAACAAGTTTGATGTTTCTGGGCTGAACGCTTTCTGATCCCCCGCTAAAAGTGACTCACTTTTAGTGGGTTAAATGGAAACTACCACTAAACACTAGAAAGCTAAAAGGCTAAGGGGATGGCCTGGAGCCACCAAGAAAAGGAAACACTCTTAAAAGGAAACAGCCATAAAAGAAGACCATGTTTGGCCCACTCTTGCAGGAAACAGTTGGCGTATTCTTCAAGGAAATATATAACTGAAGAAAACACGTCTTTGCCTAGTGTTGACGCATATCCACGTGGCTTTCTCTCAAAATGCTCTGTGCAACTCTGCACTGGCGTCCTTTTGTGTTGCAAAACAAGGAGCCCGCGCCTTGGAACATAGAACTCCCAAAAACAGTTTCCCTCGAACAGGTGGTTTGGATTGGTGGCTTGGTGACTAGGGGATGGTTTCCCAAATACCCTCTCTGCAAGATCCAGGGTTCAAAAAGCACCTTTTGGCTCTCCATGGGTATGTCTGGTTTTGGTGGATCCCCAAAATGGTGCCAGTTAAAACCACCAAGAAGGGGCGACCGTCAAAAAAAGACACATCCAAACATTTGCACCCCTGGGACCCATAAGCCTTCGCAATTCCTCTCGCCGGTCCCTTTCGAAACTCGAGATGTGGACCCCCCAAAAGGGCAGAAGAGAGTCAGAAGGTGTTTTTTGGGCAACCGACCTCCACAAGCCCAGACATTAGTTTCCTTCGCTAGGGCAAATCATTCGGGGATTATTCAGGGGTTACATTTCCTGAAACATGGCAACTGACAGGGGGTTCCCTTTACGAGGAAACTGTTCTTCCAGGCACCCTCCCCCCGCAAATGTTATGCTAGTGGGAGGAAGGGTATTGACCCATATAAATGAAGCGCCAGTTCATCAATAGGCGGGGTGCAAAGGGAGTGACGTTTGAGATATCGCCTTTGGGGGCTGGCATCCACCCTGCAAGGGCCCGGGCAAAGAACAGGCCCAAGAGGACCGGGGCCTGCGACAATAGGCCAATGCAAATCAGTTTGGTGTATGTAAGTCTAAAGTGGTTGCACCAAATGGTGCACATCGGACATGCATGGGGATGAATGCACTCACCAATCATGCCTCAGGGTGTTCTAGCCTTTTCAATGCGCACTGACAACCCATCAGGCAACCACTGCCGACCTAGCCTTCTTTCTTTGATTATCCCCAAGGCCCTCAAGGTGTGTCCAAAGGGGAACTTGACATTTCCTGGAATGATCCCGTTTTGTAACCAGTACTTCTTGGTCTTTTGCCAACATTACTTTTTGGGGGGCCAAAGAAGGCAGGCTCCTGTCACACCGATAATATTACAAATACATTTCATACACTGTTCGCTTCAGATCAACGACTGGTTCCAGTGGCTTCAAGCCGACTTTAAGCCCGCGGGCTCCATCAGGCCATGGATGTGGGCTCAATGGATAGATCCGCTTGCCGCCGGCTTGCTTCTTACCCACGAATCGGAATGCTCGGGGTCAGATTGGTAAAATTCATTCAGCATGGTTGGCTCGGAAGCGGTCCTTACGCCAACCAGAGCCCATTGCAGCTCTGGAACTGCCATCCACCAGTTCACGGGTTGAAAACCCGGAGCCGTGCTCCAAACATGGAGAGGGTGTCTCAAGAGTGTGAGATGACTCCATAGTTGAAGGGTCAACACTCCAGGCGAATCATGAAAAGACATAAAAGACAATTATATGCAAGAACCTGAGGCTCCTCAAAATATCAAGCAAGTTAGCCAGAGTAGGTGGCAGGCCCTGTTGCTGTCAAACAAGAAAACTACAGGAACACCGCACGCTATCCGACCTTCCAGGCGAGCCGGAGACAACAAACCATGTGAACACTCAAGTTAGAAAACCCAACTAGGTACTGACCTAAATTACTGCCGTGAAACTGGCAGCCTCAGAGTTTTGTTGAGAAGCTCGGGTTCCGCGAACCAGGAACTTTATAGTTAGGATAGGAAAATGCAACTGGCACCAACCTGAGCGAGAGCGAGAGGGAGAGAAGGGGAGAGAAAGAGACAAAAGATAGAGAGATAGAGAGAGATAGAGAGAGAGAGAGAGAGAAATAGAGTAGAGAGCGAGACGGGCAAAGAGAGAGAGAGAGAGGCTGTTGAGTGTTTGGCTAGAATTTGACCCTCCAAACATGGCCCCACTTCAGCTTCAACGACATGGGGCTGTTCCAGCACAATGGGTTGCCTGAAAACCCAGTTAAACAACCAGAAAGGGAGCCCCAAACATAAACCCCGGCTGGCCAGAGATGCGAGTTTCTCAAAATGGTGGGCCTGCGTTCGTAGTACATCTTCAGAAACACTCATATGGGTCCATACGATCAGCCTTTGACATCAACCACGGTGAATATTGATTCAGAGCCAACCCGCAAGAGCCACATTGCCATGGCGCAGCAACCGGTCCCCGTAGATGGCTTCGAGCTCATTCGTGATTGTGCGATTCAGGGGGGATTTGTCAAATGTGAAGAAGCTTGCTGTTGAAGTGAAGAACTGGTCATCGGGAAGAACTTTCATTGGTATCGCCACTGTTGTGACACCCGGGGTCAGGGCGCCGGTTTGCCAAGGCAACACAGGCGGCTTGCAATCCCAGATCGGCTTTCATGAAAAGCGATATTCAGAGGTACACAGCTACAACTTGTATGTAATATATGAGAATATATGCCTTCGCTACCATCCCTCCAAAACTACAAAGAGCCCCTGGTGCTTCGCTGTCAGTTTTTTGGAATCGCTGGGGCTGCCGGCTGCCACCTGTGCGCCAGCGCTGCACAGCACCAGCACAACCTGGTCCGAAACGTGACGTTACAACGTACTGTGCTTGGACGTGGTGAGTTCGTTCACCAATATTCAGGGAGTCAAACGCGCCATCTTGTTTGCTCTCTCTTGGTGGGGGGTGATATGGTCCCACCTTGAGAGGAAGCCTCAAGAGAATCGTAAAGGAGGCGTCTTCTGAGTCTGAAGAGAGTAAGTATATTAAGTGCGGTAGTGGACAATGGCTATTTCTCGATTGCCACTTTCTGTGGCAACGTGCTTCAAGTACGGGACTTGAAGTTCATGATGCACATGTGAGCACTTTTGGCTAAGACCTCCAGCGCTAAACTGCCCCGGAATCACAACCCCTGCTTGCTGTTGAGGGGGCATGCAACCGGAAGGGCTTGGAGCAATGCTGGCGGGGCTTGGCCTTCTTGGCCTCTTGTGGTAAAGAAAGGGGCAGCTGCCATCCTCTCTAAGCAGCTAGCTTGGGCCTCTCTGTTTTCAGCAGGAGGCGCAGCAAAACTATCTTCAGCTTTGACAAGTGGTCTTTTCGGAGTTGTGACTTTTGTTTATATTGTTGGTTGCTGCTGACCCCTCTGCACAAAGTATAGCTTGTGGATCGAAATGGAGAATCCACTGTTTCCTAAAAAGTTAAAGTCCAAAGATCCAACCAAAGTCCCAAGATAAAGTAAAACTCGTCCTAAATTTCAAACAATTCAACTGCAGCCCGTAGAGTCCCGATCCCAACAAGGGCCCAACTGTATCCTGGCTTGCTGCAAGCCCACGCGGATCCCGTGAAATGGGTGCTAACCTGGTGGGATTCTATGCCAGGAGCCCAGCAGCCTAAGCCCTAGGTCTTAGACAAAGCCCTGGGAGCAACACTCTCGAAGTTCCCGAAGAAACACTTTTTGGAAGTTAGATCCTTCCGTGGGATTTACGAGTCAAAAGCTCTGAGTGTGAGGCATGGTCAAGGTTTCCATAGGAATCAAATGAGGTTTTAAAGATAACTTCAGGTATGGGCTTTGGAGCTATGAATGCCTTTGTATGTGCCACCAAGCTTGTAAGGCTACTTTGTCCGCCTTCTATAAGTGGTATATGACCTTCAACAACTCCAAGGGAACCGGCCTGACCCAACTACTTGTGCAGGGCGTGCCCCTTGGGGACACACCCATAGCCTACACCCAAGCGAACTCAGCAAACCTATTAGCCTAAACTCCGAACATCGATTCCAAGGAATCGAATGCCAAATGGAAACTGCCCAACATTTCTGGGAGGCCTGTGAAATCCGGTCGACTCTGAAGGCCCGAGCAAGAAGCCAGGAAGCGCTCGCAGGCCCAAAGAGCAGGAGCACCTTTGGACGCCCAGTGGCTGGAGTCAAAAATAGGTATCCAAAATGGACCGGTACATGTGAACATGGACTAAAACATGCGGTCCCCTAGTGGCTTTCCTTTGAGCCATGACCTGGTGGGGGAAAAACATGCGCGCCCCTTTTTGTCATTTTGTTGGTTGGTTGTAAAGTGGTTCCCCCCTCCAAAAACGAAAATGACAACAAGGCAACCCACTAGGGGTCTGGTTGTGGTGAAAGGGATTTGCAGGACTTACAGCGAGAAAACATGGAGCATGATAAAATCGTCAGCAAATTTTCTCCCAAGAGGGAGCCAAGGCCAAGCTGTTCAATGTATAGGGAAAACATGTATTCATAACGGCTTCTAGAAGAAAGCGACGGAACCCACTTAATTGACCGCCACCAATACAAACTGCCAACTTAGAGCCACCTGATCTATAAGGGGGGAATCAACGCATAGTCGGGTTATGCGGTGTTTTAGTTCCCAGATCCCAACTAAAGCCCAGCACCTCGGTGACACAAATCGCAAAATAGGCAACCAGAAACTGGGGAAGTGAGACACATACAAAGAAGGAAAAGCCCGGCACCGGAAACAACGCAACCTCTCTAACATGGACATGTGCTTGTTTGCCCCTGTCCCTTTCCCAAAGGAAAGTGATTTGACTCGGGTGTTCGGCGAACTCAGGCCTTTGGAGTCCAAGTCAAAGTTCCTATGGGTCACACGACCTTCCTCCTTGACGCGCCTTTCGATGGTCAAGGGCAACACCAGGCCTTGAACGGTTGGGGTCCCCAGATCTTCAGAGTTATGATGTTGGCTGTGGAGTGTTTCTTTCTCAGTGCCCAAAGGACCCAGAAATATTGTGAACCTTTTAGGGTCGTGACTAGATAGAAGCCAAACGGTTAAAAAGTTTGGCTGGAGAGTTGCACAACTGAATTTTAATGACCCCTATTTCGAATACCATTTTGGGGAAGGATGATGTGGGTTTCAAAAGGTACTCTCCTGCAAATTAATTGACACCCAAATGGTAGGTCAAAGTGTGGCTTTGATAACCCCCAGAAACGTTCAACATGATGAGGTTCCAGCAGTTCCCTTTCTGTAAGGGGGATAACAAAAATACAGAGACCGGGGGCACTGCGCCATGCGGCTCTGGGCTCTCCAACGCTACTGCCGCGCCCTCTGGGCGGTGAGCGGGGAAGCCCACCCTCAGTCGAAACAGACCGACCTCCTCCAAGCAGAAAGTACACGACTCATATGCTCAGTCTGCTTAGGGGTTGTCTCAGAATTGGAATCGGAACCCCCCACTCCGGCCACTCTCCGAAAGGTGAACACTCATATATATGGCCATGGGTGTGGCTCAAAATTTTAGCGCTAGGGTTGCGCAGGTGTTGGTCTTTCTTTCCATTTACCTCCACTTACCTAGGGGCCATTTTGGGCATTTTTTTTCAGCCACGACTCATATGTTCAGTCTGCTTTGCGGTTGCCTCAAAATAATCGGAACCCCCCACTTTGGCATTAGCTGAAAGGTGAACAGCTTGGCCGCAAGAGCTCAATATGGACATGGATTTGTCTCTAAATGAGATATGGACCCATCCCCCCAAACACAAAAGTGGTTCCTAAGTGGTTACTCTTCCTCAAAAAAGATACACCCACATTGTCATATGTTGCATTGATTGCTTCACTCCAGCCAGTCGTATTCAGTTGACTTCGCTTCACTTCCGCTAGCTTCAACGTGTGTGGGTGTGTCTTGAGATAGACCCCACTGGTGGTTCATCGGTTTCTCTTTGGTCCGTGAACCTCACCCCGCAGGCAGCCAGGGACAATTCGGGGCGAGCTTCATCTCGCCAGTTGGAACGTTGCTCGAACACCATAGGCGCGTATCTCTCTTGAGCATGTCAAAGCAGCTTCTCTAACCCGGCGCCGAAGTCCCCAAGCTGAACAATTCCATGTGCACTGATTTCAAGTTTCTATCATTCACCAACATGGGCTTGGGGGACCCTCTCGTCCCATACTTCATCGCGCTTATTTTACGTGCCGTTCATCTCTACAGATTCCATCTGGGTGCGTCCCCCTGGGCTCCCGGGCTAGGGAGGCCCCTGACTCGTCCCTCAGCAACTCCTCGCCGGGTCAATCCAAACGCGGTCCCCCCTTCGCGCCCGGCAATAATCAACACACACACACACACTCACACACACACACACACACACACACACACTTATCTCGAGAGGCTTCACTAGCCGAGATGAAAAACGCAGTCAGTAAAAATGCTTGAATGCAAACGCAAATCAACAGGTCACAACATCGACACCGAACAGGAAGCAACAGCGACAAACAGAAACCGCAAAAGGAGTCAGGAAAGAGGGTCAGGAAATAGGCAGGTACGCCGGATTGATCAGATCCGGTATCCACCGAAATGCCGTAGCTTCATTGGACTGGATAGGCAAATCGGCTCCAGTCCCCCTGCAATGTGGAATTTCCGTCCGTGCTCCAGGACGCTTCACACACACGGAGCCCCAACTGGGGCGACATCACTTGTGCGAGGCCCATTGAGTCTTGCAAGCATCAATTGTGCGAGAAAGTCTTGTGGCGATGACTGACCACGCATACTTGGCTTTGGAATTGGTCTTAAGGGAACGGAGGAGTTCAATCTCTCCCTCAGTCCAAGGCTGCGAGGCTTCAGGTTCGGCCTCAGTAGAGGCATCAGTCCTGGTCGATGTGGTAGCTTCGCTTGGTCCACGAGCAGGTTTGGATGCCGTAGATCGTGAGGAGGCCAAATCACGTGTGCGGCGAGCTCGTTTTTTGTCGGGAGAAGACGGAGGAGGAGTGGGCGGAGCCCAATGATCAGGGAATTGTTCGTCATGATCAGTGGGAAGGTGTTCATCTGGAGCATCAGGAGGTGGCTCAAAGAGGTCCTCGAGGGGGGCCAGGAGGGGTGTTGGTGGTGAGTTGGTCAGGTCCTCAATGGCGGGGTTGAGCGTGGCCTCCGGTGCCAAATCAGGTTCGGCAGTCGGACTCTCAGTGAACTCGCGGATGGTGGCGATGCCTTGTTGGGCAATGCCAAGGATGAGTTCGAAGTCTTGGAGCAGCTGGCGTGCTGTGTTGGTATCCATGCTCGCAACGGATTTTGGTCAAACAGTCAAACAGCTGCGGCACGAAAATCAGGTCAAATCTGTCAGGATGCAAAGGCAGAGAAGAAAACCAGTGTGGTTTCGCAAAGGACGGTTTTTCTTCTCTTTGTAAGGTGAAACCGTGTTGGAGGTACAACCTCTTCAACATTGCAAGATCCTGATCTCGCTGAAATTCAGGAAAGGAAACTCGGCTGATCAGCGTGCGTCTGGAATAATATCCAGATTCCTTATGTATCATTGGTGCGGCTGACTTGACGGAGAGCATGTTGTGCTTCTCATGCGAGGGAATGAAGGAGATGGTGCTGCTTGTGAGGTTCAGTCGGAACCCCAAGAAGTCCAGGGCGGCTTCTGTTTCCAGGAAGATGTCTCCTCCATAGAAGTGTTCGTCGCACAGTATGTTGGCTGCCGGAGTCGAGAGCCACCTGGGGGTTGCGATCACGAGTCTGTTGTCCACGTAGCGGAGCAGGAGAGTATCTTCAACGGAGCGAAGTCCCGATGTGGTGTGAGTGTTGGTCCAACATTGTTCGGCGACCGCGATCACCATCAAACAGAGAGCTGGGGACGCGGGGGATCCCATCGGTGCCCCACGTGTTTGCCTGAATGAACGAAGGCCGACAGAGAAGATCTGCATGTCAAGGGTGGCCTGAATGATCTCGGGGATGTCGTCGAGCCACAGGGTGCGTTGTGTGGGTTTGTGTCGGCGACGGCGTCCGTTGTAGACGCGGGTGATGGCAGAGGTGTCAAGTGTGTCCACTGTGAGGTGTGTGGTAGAGGAGTGTGGTTGTCGTTGTCGGTACCAGGTTAGCAGTAGTCGCCAGGCTGCTAAGAAGCGGTCTTTGTCGATGGAGGTGAAAAAACCGGAAAGGTCCTGGTTTCGGTAATCCAAATGGGTGTGGCCGAGGCTTAGAAACTCGTGCAAGGACCGCATGAGTTCAAAGAGGTCGCCACCTGAAAACGCGTCAGGGCAAGCCGTGGCCACCATGCTGTGGAGGAGCTTGGCGAGAGCGTCGAGCATGGGTCGGAAGAAGGCGCCAATGAAACTGATGATGGGTCGGGCAGTGGTCCAGTTCTTCTTCCTCTTCGGGAGGATGTAGGCGTTGGCTGGCCTTCCGAATCCGGTCACGGCCCAAGGATAGCGGCCGCGGAATCTGGTGACAATGGTTTCTCGTAGTCGTTGGTGGATCTCAATGGCAGGGACCGGCAGAGGGGCGAAGATGGCAGGGTCCGCAAAAGTGGCTTCCAACATCTTGCCGTAGAGAACGGGACAATAGATCATGAGTCGGGAGTCCGCATGGTCTTCGCAATGGCGGACAAGGGGTTCCAGGGTATGCAGAGCCCGTTGGACGTGGGCGTGAAGAAAGTACTGTGATGTGTGTGAAAGGTGGAGGTCGAAATGGAATTCGACAATAGTAGTGAGGGTTGATGGGTCGAGCGCGGGTAGGTTGTTGGTCCTGGCCCAGTGTTGAAATGCCTGGGTCAGGCGACTCATCAAGACCCCTCGTGGAGGAAAGAAGGAGTTGCGCATCGATCCGGATAGCATGTGGGCAGTGTCGGAGTCGAACAGCTCATGGGTGTCTGCACCGGAGAAAAGAAGGTGTCCGTCATGCTTCGGGAGGGATGGGTGTCGTTGGGCGAGGTCGGTGCATGTGCAGGTCGTTTCACCGAGACTCCAGGTTTTTGCTGCCTGGAGATGTGAGAACAAGGCACTGGAGAGTCTCCGATGTGCCTTGAAGACAATGCGTGGTTGTGCCATGTGAAACGGTAAAGCGCTGCGAGTGGTAGATCGAATAAACCCGCGAAGTTGGGTTAAAAGCAGGGATCGGAAAGAAGGATGGGCGAGGAATGGTGCAAGCATCGGTCTGGAGGGGCCAGGTGGAATGAGGCCCCGGAATCGTAAACTGGATCGAATGGCGGAAAGGCATGCCTGGTGGTGTGGTTCAGGCAGGTGCGTGGCTATGCGATGAAGGACATAGAGAGCGGCGGGTGGGAAGTCTCTGCTCCGTATGTAACGGATGGCATCAAATCGTCGTAGAGTGTTGCTGCCAAGATCGCCCAAAAATCGCCACAAATCCAGGCGGTTGTTCATGCGCTTGGCCAGGAAGGCCTGTTGTAGGGCGATGGGTAGTCGTAGTCGGCGGCGTTTTCGCCAGATGGTGGCGAAGCCCATGTGCCGGGATTGGGAGAAGTCCAATTGGCGTGTGAAGCCCGTGCGTGGCCGGAAATGTTTCTCGATGAAGCCAAAATTGAGAGACGGTTGCAGTTCCTGGATGTAGAACTGTTCAGTGGCAAATAGGTCCGTTGCTGGAACGGCAGTGTGAATGGGCACCGAGGTGTAGTGGTGGAAAATGTCAAAATGTGCCCACCACCGGACTGCTAGTTCGGCATTGACCAGATGATGTCGCTGAACTTGGAGTAGTTTGCGAAGTCGGCTGTGGTCCCGTGCCATGAGGGAGGTGCGAGTGGCTCCGAGGTAGAAAAAGGCCTGCCACTTTGGATGGCTGGTGAATCTCAGATAAACCGCTGAAGGGACAAGCTGAGAAGAGAAATCGGAAGCAGGGTTGTCCAGGCCAAGTCGAGTAAGCAGGGCTTTCAGTCTGCCGGAACCACAGGAGAGATGGCAGACGTCAAGTAGCTGAAGCTGTGCGAGTAGCCAGGAGCAAGAATGACGTGCGGTGACGTCATCGGTTGGGAAGAACCGAAGAGTGAAACGGAGGACAGTGAGAAGTTGGCAGCAGTGGTGTTGCCAAAATTTGTGCTGCCTGGCTGTGCGTCGTTGTCGGTGTGCTGTTGAGAGTCACTGGTAGAAGTGACTCGCAGCGGCCAGGATGCGGCCCAAGGCCGATGACCCCAGTTTTGATAGGGTTCGCACCGGGATGCCCCATAGCACAGCGGCTCGTTCGAGTTGGGCTCTGGTGTCGGAGTCCAGTGTGGTTGCCCATTTTGCGCAGTCGTTGGACCAGTTGGACCAGCTTTTTAGGACTTGCTTGCTCTCTTTGCTGGTTTTCTGGGAGGTGATCCATCGCTGGACTTTGGTGTCGGAAATGTCGGGTGGGAAGTTGTTGGTGAGCCATTGGCAAACGTGGGGAGGTGGTTGGAGCAAGTCGCGGGGCTCCTTCCAAGTGGGTGGGGAGGGGAGGGGGGGAGGGGTCGGGGTGCCGCCGTGGGTGGAGGGGGCTGGAGGGTTGCCGCCGTGGGTGGGGGGAGCCGGGGGGGGTTGGGAGTCGTCTGCAATGCGAGTGGGCAGGGGTAGGGCGGGGGATCCGTCCTGCGGTGATGTGTCAGGTGTAGTCAACCGTGGTCGCTTCATGCCGAAGTCCAGGAGGGAGGCCTGAGATGGATCGGCTGGGCGTTTGTTGGATGAGGTGGGTGTGGGGGGGAGGGGGGGGGATGAAGCCTGCTGGGCGAGTTGGTTGTGTGCGTCAGCAAGCTGTTGCTGAAGCTGGAGTATGGTGGCCGCGGAGGCCGGATCGGCCGTAGTGGTGGGTCGGAGGGAGATGAGGAAGTCGAAGATCTTGTTGGTGAGTAGCTTCATGGCTGCTGGTTTGGTGGTCGAGGCGCCCTCCTGCGTGGCTACATGGAGGGCGAGGGCGTCCAGGTCGAGGTGCCGTTGTCGGATTTGGCTGAGTAGTCCAGCAGCAAACACTGATTCCGGCATCGACTTTGCGACAACGATGCGGACTTCGCCTCCGTGGGCGAGGTGACGCAACCACCAACTGTTCCACTGTTCGTGCATGAGGTGGAGGAGGGGGACGCGAGCGATGTCTTGTCCCTCGATGCCCATTTGCCGAGTAAACGCGGTGTGCGTTATGACCTTGGGCAGGTCGTACCCCGCGACGCGGGTGGTGTCGTAGTGATCGTCGCCAGGGTTGAACTCGGTTGGTGTTGGGACTGAGTGGACGGGTCGAAGGGCCGGGGGAGGTTTGGTTTGCGAGGCGGTGGAGGGGGAGGGGAAAGGTGGAGGGCGGGTGAAGGGGCCGGGGGGAGGGGGGGGAAAGGGGTTGCCGCCGGGAGGGGGGGGGAGAGAGCCGCCAAAGGAGGGTGGACGAGGGCCGGGGTGTGGTGGGTAATGGGGAATAGGTTGGCCGTAGGTCTGACAGGGAGTCGGATGTGTAGTTGGCGGTGTCCATGTCGTGGAAGAGCATCCGTAGGAAGGTCCGGACAGGGCCCCGCACGGGTTTCCGGCCATGTTGTTGCCGTACATGATGCCATGATGATGGGATGCCGTGGGCGAAGGCTGCGGTGGTAAGTTTTGCCTTTGGAGCATCGGAACCAAACCTCGAGGGGGTTGGAAAGCCATGCGAAAACACGGGGGAAAAGGAAATGTTCGAACCAAAAGCTGGTGAGCGGAATCAAGCGGGTAAGGTCACAAGGCGAGAGAACGGTCGCAGAAAGGCAGAACAGCAAAGCAAAGAAAAAAGGCGATCAAACAGTGCACCAATTCTTTTCCTGGTTGGGTGGAAGATGGTACACTTGCGCCCCGCTAAGCCGGGCGCTGCAGCGCGATGCCTCTCAGCATCGCAAACTTGGAGTGAAGGCACCACTTTTTGCCTCGGCGGCATGCGAAGTGGCGCCGCACGTTGTGTTGATCCTCGTGGCTTCCCCCGGATTCGAGGATTTTGTGCTGATTGATGGAGCGTAGTTCCCCAAAAGCGATGGCGCCGAGTTGAGACTTTCCGATTGTAAAGTTCTGCAAGAGCTGGCCGAGCGTGTCGGGCGTGCATGCCGTGGGGGTGGCCTGAGCGTAGCATCCAAAGCTCGGGTAGTCATGGTTCTCGGGCCTCCAAGCAGCGGGTCGGATCATGTTCTCATGGCACATGCGGCGCACTCGATCCGGGGTGGTGCCGTGCACATACATGACAGCGTGATGGGAGGCCGTGCCGGATCCAGCTTCCGGGTCTCCGCCAGCAACTGGCCAAGGATGAGGTCGGGGAAACCAAGTGGTTGCGAACACCATGCCGTGTGATTCCCGTCCCAAGAGGTGGTAGAAGCTGGGATCGAACGGTATGGGATCATCCGTGTCCATGGTTCGCAGTTCCCAGCATTCCGCGAGGAGATCGGCATGTGAAGGTGGCAAAGCAGGGTCCAGGTCCATCAAAATGGCCTTAGTCTGTTCCACCCTGGAGATGTCCAAGGCTGGAAGCGGGTCCAGCTCCCCCAACTCCCTAGGCGTGGGAACTCGCAGCGGGTCAGTCTTGGCCGTGTCCATGACGTTTCTCCATAGATCAAGCCACCGGTTGTCGGAAGTGGTGGTGGCATTGATGTCCGCCTCCGATGGAGGGGGATCCAAATCACCGGTGTTGTCGAAGGGGGGTTGGGGAGGGTGAGGAGTAGCCGGCGTGGGTCGGGGAGGGGGAGGGGGAGTGGAAGTGAAGGCCGCCGCAGGTGCTGGGTGAGGGGGCAAGCTAGTGTTGTGGTGGCCGGTGCGGGAAGTGGGGTGGGGTTGCTGCCCATGGTGCTGCAGTGACCAGGACGATCGTTTGTCCTGGTTGTTTCGGTGGCCGGTGTGGCTGGCGCCATGGTGGTGCATGTCCCAGCGGTTTTTGTTCTGTGGTGGGTATCCCCACGATTGGTTCCGCCAGTGTGAGGAGGACCATTGAGACTTGTTGGAATCCTTCCCGGAAGTGCGCCAGGAGGTGGAATCATGAGTAGTGTGAGTGGGTCGGTGCGAAGTCGTGGCTCTGGGTGCAGGGGAGTGTCGATGGTGGGACCTGTGTCGGGGGGAGCGGGAGCGGAGGGAGACAGTGGAGTGGTGTGCACGTCGGGAGTGGTGGAAGTGTCGGGAAAGGGAACGTGACCTGCTGTAGCTGCGGGATCGTCGGGTGTCGTGTCGTCGGTGCGACTTGTTGTGCCTGCGATGGTGGCTGGTGTGGGAGTGGGAGTGTCGGTGCTGACTGTGGCGGGAACGGGATCTGCGAGAGTGGGGATGGTGCCGAGTGTCCGGGGGAGGGTGGTTGGTTGAGGAGGTAGCGGCAGGAGCCGCAGCGGCAGCTTCGGGCGCGCGCGCCGGCTGAGGCTCGGGCAGTGAAGATGGCATGCTGCTCTGAGTCATGAAAGGCATGATGGTGCCAGGTGCCAAGTTGCCGTAATTGGGAGGGCCACCGTAGGGCATCATGGCCATCGGGTTGCCAAAGTTCGAGAGGCCGCCGTAGGGCATCATGGGGAAAGGTGTGAAGGATGCCGTCTGCGAGTTGGGTGACGGTACAAGGTTCATGGGCTGCGTCATCTGGGATGACAGCTGCAAGTTCGGTCCACAATTGCCTGGTGAGCCGGACGCGGTGCCGGTCGCAATGCTGTGCAGGAGCGAATGCATCATGTCATAGAGCTGGTGTCCAGCCATCTCGCAAGGGAGAGAGAAGGTTGGAAAGGGGTGAAACAAAACCACAACTGCGGCAAAAATGCGTCAATGGTGCAAATGCATGCGAGCAAAAATGCGTCAATGGTGCAAATGCATGCGAGCACAAAGGGGTTCTCAGAGGTGCCTGTCAAGTGGCCTCATGAAAGTGCCTCATGTGGCTATGCCGATGAATCTGAACTGAACTCATCCGAGACGAAAGCTTCCATAAACACCACGAATTGCAGAGTTGGTGTATGACCAACTCGTCACTGGCGCATGAAGCTTAGGAACCTGAAACCTCGTGGGTGCAGCCTTGCTTCAAAGGCAGGCAGTGCAGGCAGTGCAACGCGCATGAAACCAGCAGAGCACCATTTGGGTGCGGAATACCTTAAGACCTCAAGCTGCAGCCTTGATCGTGGTCAAACGCTGAACTGAACTGCAGCTTGAATTTGAACACTTGAACGGTCTTCCCCTCGCAGGGGGCTCCCGCATGTGGCGAGTCCAGCCCACAGCGCCATGTCGGACAGGCCGTGGGTAAACACACTTATCTCGAGAGGCTTCACTAGCCGAGATGAAAAACGCAGTCAGTAAAAATGCTTGAATGCAAACGCAAATCAACAGGTCACAACATCGACACCGAACAGGAAGCAACAGCGACAAACAGAAACCGCAAAAGGAGTCAGGAAAGAGGGTCAGGAAATAGGCAGGTACGCCGGATTGATCAGATCCGGTATCCACCGAAATGCCGTAGCTTCATTGGACTGGATAGGCAAATCGGCTCCAGTCCCCCTGCAATGTGGAATTTCCGTCCGTGCTCCAGGACGCTTCACACACACACACACACACACACACACACACACACACACACACAGACACACACACACACACACACGCACGTGCACGATGGAGATTTCACGGAAATCTGCAAGCTACAACGACTCACGTCAAAGCACAAAACCGAGGCTTCATCTGGCATGGACCACGATCGTGTATTATTTCTCGCGAGAACATTCCCCATCACGTGTCTCCATGCATGGCAACTGTCGATTGGCAGGGCGTCCAACATGGGTGTGGGAAAATGGGAAAAGGGGATCTTGTTCAGCTTGGATTTCCGGAAGTTTGGTCGGTCCCCTGCATGCTTGCATACCTGCCAAGGCGTGCTTTCTGGCAAGTTGCGGGAGGGACACGACGGCGATAGGGGTGCAATGTATCGCATGCTGTTTCAACCAGCTCGTACCCTTTCACAAGAACATTCAAAAGGAAGTTGTTTACTGTCTGCTTGGAATTCGCTCATTTGCTTGTTTCAGAGTAAGACCAGAAAGCCAGTTATAGACAATGGCTTCTATGTCGCTCAACAAAGAGTTTGGTATTTCTCAGCATAGGGCGACCCCCTCAAAATTGGTCCTTTCCTCTTGGCTCCCCTTTAACCCACCCCGAAAAGGTCTGCAGGTTCGAAGGCTGATCGAAAGTTTTGTGGTGGGATGTTCGGACGGCGAGCACGGGTGAATTCCACTTCTTCTACTCGCCCCTTCGGGCCAATGATTTCGGGCGAAGCGGGTGGAACAGACCCCGTGGTTTGAAAGTGAACCCGCCAGCCTACATTTGACGATGTATTCTGCTCTACGTCCATCTCCCATGTCTGGACTTACCCAGATCCCAAAAGCCGAGAGCCTCAAGCCATCTCAAGCCCCAAACCTGCGGAAAAAACGGGCACCCCGAGACCTGGTTGCCTGAAACATGTTCGAGCTTGAAAACTCTGTAGACGAAGCAAATGCTTTCGAATTCCCTGGAAATGAGATGGCAAATGGGCGTCGCAAAATGGGCTTCGACGATTCCCCCTGGGTCTGGGTTTCGTTTTGGACATGCACTCCAAAAAACGTTCCCTCACAAAGCATACACCCCGTTGTTTGTTGGGGTATCACCTCGAAGGGCTCTTTCCGAGTGCTGAGTTCCAAGAGGTTCGAAAACATAGCGCGATTTGAGACCTGACACTACCACCCACAGCACCCTGGGAACCCCAAAAATTGTGGTCACCATCTTGTCAAGCCTGTCGGTTCAACCTCCCCATGCCTTCTGCTTGGCCCAAGCTCCCAGCGAAGGGAGACTTGCCCTAACTGCCACCTGGTTGGTTGATTTTCAAGTGAAGCCTCAAAACCAGGGTTACGGGGGCGCGCCAGGATAAGCCTTGGATAAGCCAGTTCTTGAGTAACAGCCACCCCTGCCCAGTTCAGGTCCATCCCCTTGTCTCCTTCTTCTCTCCACCTTTTAACGCCATCTGTCTTTCAAGCTCTGCGATCTTCTCGTTCTTCTCCTGTCAGATTACGGGGGGTCGGACCCAAACAGAATTCGGTTGCAATCGTTGCCGTTTTCTCAGCCTCGAAAAACACTCAACCCCTAGGGGGTCCCTCAATCTTCTCGCCAACTGGTAAACGCTGTGCGCACAGTCTGTCAGACCGGAAGACATTTTGAGCAGACAAAGTAATCGTGATGCAGTCCAATGCGCCGACGGACCGGGGCACCATTACACGAACAGCTCGCTTTAGTTACCCCAAGAAACAGCCCCCGGCTACGCAAGATCTGCCGCGCAAATAAAAGATTGGGTCACTGAGCCTGAGCATTGACTGATGGTGTCGCTGGATGTTGCCAAATTTCAAGATAATAGTAGTCAGTCAACATCATGGCTTGCCATGATCAATTTATGTCAATTCGGGGTTTGGGACCAAGATACTAAATCTCCCATACACGGAGGATTGCCTATGTCATGTCCATTCCAAAAACAAGCACGGGAAAAAAGCCAGGTCTTTTCAGGGACATTCACCAAACTCGGCCCAGACAATAGACAATGGCAACCCTTTTCACGCATTTAGGATTACCAAGTCTTGAGTGGGCAACCCTCTTGCATAGGCCAAACCAACATGTGCGCTAGTTCAGATAATTATCACAGCCCTGTCCCCTCATGGTGAGACAGGCATGTGCTTTCAATCTTGGATGCGAAGACTTTAACACTGTACATGTCAAAAAGCGCGACTTTTTGACCATCCCAAACCTGCACAGATTGCACTTGTTCATTCGATCTGCAGTTGATGACACTTTCGAACAAGCAGGAACACGCATAAGTTTAGTCTGCCTGAAGTATTCAGGGCTTCTCCTGGCTTTCTGCTAAAAGCAATGCTTAAAATGTACCAACCCGAAAAACATGATGACAAAAAACCACGGCCATGAAAAACGCACGTCCCAAAGGGGGATTGAAAACAGAGGCCCTCCGATTCTGGCTCTGAGAAACATCGACTCGGTTTATTACTTTCGCCCAAACCGCCTTTGTCAACCCGCTCTCGGGTCTTGTGAAGGATCCCTTCTGAAACCTCTGGCCCCAAAAAGGCTTCCAGTCACCTAGTAAGGGTAAACATACCTGAAGTGGCAACTATAGAAAGCCATGAGTCCGGGAAGAAACCTAGACCCGTTTATGTCTAGGGCCCTCCAAATGGACTTCGGTTCTCCTGTTTCAGCTGGCCCCGAGTTGGCAGCTTGTTTTCGTGTTGGTTACGGGGTGGTTTCCCATTTACCCTGTAGGACCAGGCGATCAAATCCAAATCCAAACCACCAATCCAGACCACTTGAATGTTAACTGATTGGTACACTCTGTTTGGCCGATTGGGTCATGGTTCCCTCAATACAAGCCTAGGGTTAATTCCCCATTCTTCTCAACCCTCGGTCTTTTCAAAAAACCCAGGTGTTTCCCCGGCTTGCTGGTACCTACAAAGAATGGAAATGGAAGGCATCCCCTTAATTTGAAGATCCCTTTAAACCAACCCCCAAGGCCTATAGGGATGCTGCAAAGGCCCCGCCTTGAGCGCCTTCTCGAGGACGTCGCGCGGCAGGTTCGATCCGTTCCCCGCGCCTTTGGAGTCCTGCGAGAAGCAGAAGCTTTGGCCCGGTCCATGTGGGGCTGTCGCGTTTTTTTTGAGACCCCCCCCCCCTTTATGGTTGGTTTTAACGGGAAACCGCATGGAAAAGCCACAGTCTTGGAGGTCCCCTTAAAAAAACAGAGGCGTGCCTCTGTGCTTTCGGCCACGACCTTTTCCGGGCAAAACGCAATCGGCAAACAACTAAAGGGCAGATACCAGGATTTGTTCGGCCAAGGGAAACCACCCTTGAAAACCCGACAGTCAGGGTGCCACCTTTTTCTGGGCAAAAAACGCAAAACGAAAGGGACATGTGCTGGTTACATACTGTGTGGGCGGTCAAAATCCATGTCGCACCATGGATGGGTGGATTCTCCCAGAGTTCACAAGCTTTCACCTAAGCTGTTCCTCCAGGGGCCTTCTGGTCGTTAGTGCTCTCATTTGACTCTACTAAAAGCGTACCAAAAATACAACAGCCCCCCTTCGAGTCATGTGAGTGGACACCTTGGCCAAAGCCAAAAGGATGCGTCAAATTGGCTCTCGTTGTACCCACGCAGACAACATCTTAGCGAACCCCAGGCTGGCCGCGAGGCAACGACCCAAGGGCCTACCAGCCGCCATGGAAAAAAAATAAACCGTGTACTTCTTGTTGGTCACGAGGTTGTTTGGCCTGACTTGGACCCATCAAACCAAGCCTCGTTAGAGTTGTTGCGGCTGGTTGGAGTCACCTAAAATTTTGATGGGGACCCTTGTGGACTTTTGAGTGAGACCCCTACTAAAATCCACTGCCGTTTGGCCCTCCATGGCACATCACACTCATTTAGCCTACCGAAGTCCTCTCTTTCGCCACGCCGTCGCTTGACCCGGTCCTGGCCATCAGACATCAATTTGGCGACTGAGCCTGTAGCAGGCCGTGCCCTTTCGACCTTTCTCCAATTCAACACGCAGGCATCGATCAGATCACAGCGTTTTTCCTATAGGAAGCTGTGCGCTTTTGACGTTCTTCCAATTCAACACGTTTTCCGAGTCATCTGCGTTTTCCCATTCCAGGACGTCTACCGTCCACTTCTGGGTCGTCAACGCCCGGTCCGCCTCCTCTCGGGGCTTTCCCAGGGTCTGCGGCGGCGGCGCCGTGTGCTCGGCCTCTGGCCCTCGGAATGCAACCCGAAAGCGCAGCTTCTCCGCAAACGCAGTCGGCTGCGATGTGTGCATATGCACATATACAGAAAATACTATACGCATAATGCATTATACTACATATATATATATATATTCCCCTTTCATGGTGAGCTTGCCATAAGCAGATCATAATTTGTTGTCAAACTAGCAACAAACTGGGGGGTCATATCAGGGGGGGTATATCTGTGCTTATGCTGGCATATCGCAAAGGTATGGCAACAAAGGAAACCACTCTCCCTGATTTTGCGACAACCCCCTTTAGATCCATGTAGCAAGTATTCCCGTCCGCCCCTTGCAGCAAACTCGGTGAATCAGGCCGTCCACCCTCATCCACCCCAGTGGCTACAGGCCCTGGGAAAAAAGGACACTCCGTTTTTGGTTGATTCTGTTGAAACAAAGGGTGGACCCTCAACGCCTGCAACTGGGTGCGTCGTTTGGTCCGTTTGCCCTTGTTTGTTTTGGGGGGGAGTTTCTTTGAAGGGACACCTAAAGGAACTCCCTGTTTTTGGAGGGGATATCCCGGCGCTTTCCAATCGACAGGGGGCTTCGCCACAAGGAAAATCGTCTTCCAAAACCCTCCGATGGGGGCACTGCTTTTGGCGGCACCGCTTTCTGAGCGGCGGGCAAATCTGCTTCGGCACGAGGCTTGCCTGACATCTAGCTCCTTTCCTGATTGCTTGACCAGACTCTCCGACCCGCAGAAAGTGAACGTGTTGCGGCTGGAAAGGGGAAACTCATGAACAACGAAAAGGCAAACGGATAAACAGGTGAGCCCAGTCTGGCAACCCTTTTTTGGCTGCTTGCAAGGTCTTATTCTAAGGTCACTAGTTTGTTCACTGATCTTTTCTGCTGACGAGACACCAACTGCGACCATGCCTTCAGCATTGGCGGCATGAGCCAGACATGGGGCTCGGCCAAAGAACTGGGCTACAGCTTCCGCGAATGCCTACGCAGCTACGCTGAGTGTACGCGAAAACTGGCTGAGGTTCTCGAGAACAAAAATGAGCTCTCTGCCAATCCCAATGCCAGCAGGCCACACGATGGGGTTCCATCAGACTGCTTTCAACAGGTCAGAGAAGCAAGCAGTGTGGCATAACTAGTTTGCCTCTCAACGCGAAATCTGTTCAGTCGAGCCTACGCGGCGCCTACCCCAGAAGCTTTCCAGCCAACTGTCTACGCGCACCTCCGTGCGTGCAGCAAACTGCCTGCACGGGGCCTGACATGTCCACTCTCCTTTTGTTCTTTTACTACCCAAGAACAAAATCTGCAAATCTGCTCAATGTACGCCAGATATCACTTGTCACTCACGCCGGACTGATGGTGGTCGAAAGTGGTGTTTAAGCACTATATCCCTAAACATTATATACGTCAATTGCATACGGGAGCAGAAGGCTATATGTGGCTTCGTCCGTTTTCAAGCGGAACTCTTTCTTGATTGGTTTGAAAGGGCCACAATTGCACAACAAAATGGTGGGGTGGTGCTACCATGGCCACACGGGATAAGAGAATTCCCTTGGCTCACTGGTTCCAAGATGGACTCCGAATAAATTCTTGGTATAAGTGGTATCTATTCCCGAAGCATTTGGGGATGTGTCATGGTGTCTTGAAACATGTGGGTATTTCCTTGGCCTCCCTTTAAACCAAGGCCTAGAAAAGGAAACATATTTCCAGTATAGTGAAAGAATCCCTCTAAAAAGCGAACAGGGGAAAAAAAGCACAATCAAAAGAACACAGATTTCCAGAAGGATGATAGATTCCCCGTAAAAGCCAAAAAGGGGACTCATAAACAATCTCAAGCAAATGGAAGTAACATTTGGGGAGCTCGGTCCAATGTCAGCGGTTTCGCCTCCACATCCTCGGCCGGCGGCAAGCGCCGCCGAAGCCCGTCGCCGCTGGCAGGGGAATTGGGCGCCTGAGATAAATTCGACTCGAGCCCAGCAGTGGCCCTGGGGAAAAAAAGCAACACAAAGATTTTCCCGGCCTAGAATAAGCAGTAAACTATTGATCTCTGTCTGTTCGGCTTCCGGCAACAAGCCACCAACGTACTGTAACATTCAGGACACTGTGTGTGTGTCAAAATCGGCAATCCCGTTTCATTTCATGCGCCCTTTGAACACGGCTGCAGCGAGCACATGTTGTCGGACTCCTGGCGAGCGGCTGTGCCATTTGGAAGGATACCCGATCGCGTTGGAGATGTCTCCCCGCCGCTGGAAATTCGGGATCCTTTGGCTTGGAGTGGCTTTCTAGGCCAGAGGTGCCTTCGAGGCTCCTAAGGTGTGGCTAAGTTACTAATGGTATTCAGCTTTGCTGGCCCACGCAGTTTGTAGCTACCGGATTCAGGTGCTTCTTACCCCGCTCTGGCAGTCTGACTTCGAAAGTGCGTCTTGGTTGGAGGGGAAGTCTATTCGAGGAGGAGCGTTATTGGCCGAACAAGTAAACCATTGGCGGGTGGCATGAAGCTGCGTTGCCTGTCGGCGACGGACCCTAAGCCAACCAACCAGCCAGCCAGCCAACCTGCGTCCTCCAAATGCCTCCAAATACTCCCTGACAATTACCCTCAAAGGGCGAGAGTGCAGAACATTTTGGTCTGTGCACTTCCATGGGAGCCATTCTCAAGCGCCTCCCCTCTTGGACGCTGTTCCCAAATGGGTATGGGTCAAATTGAGCCACCAGGGGACTGCAGCTTTTGGCCTTTTCCGTTTGCCAGGGCAACCCATTTTGGGGTTGCCCAATTTATGACGAGCCAAATGGTGGCTAAGACGCCCCCAATTCGTGGAGGCCTGGAATGGTCTCCTGAGAAAAACCATAAAAACCAAAAATACAAAAAAACAACCTCCAAATTGAAAACATTGGCCGCCGAAGCCAAAGCAACCAGGCGGCAGAAGGCGATGCCGGGTCCTCATTCAAAACTCGGCTTCTGCCCTCTCGACTCCAAAGACCCCAGAATACCAGCGGTCATGGGAAAAACCAAGGCACTCCTGTTTTGGTACCTGGAATTTCCATGACCCTTCAACAACGGATCATGGCCACCTCATATTGAAGGGTCATGAAGACTGCAGGTAGTTGATTGCAAAAGGAAACCCGCTGCAAACAAAGAAGGAACAAGGGCACCTGGGCAAGGTGACAGACAGCTAGCTCGCCACACAAGTTACACCACTTGCCACCCGGCCCAACCCATGTGTCAGTGGGTAGGTTCTTGTTGTATACCCTCGCATGGAATACGGTGTTATAGTTGTGGCATGCATAATCCATTGTGGAACCGATACATAAGATATAATATTTGATATACATTTACACTAAACATAGACTAGTGTATTTTAGCCTCTGCAGTGGATCGGAGCACCTAGCCGGCACACTGGGCCTTTGGATCTTACCGAGGGGCAACATTGGGGAAGCAATTCAGCGTGCGAACTGTCGCCCGGTCCTTTGAATTCGTTGTTTCCACTGCACCAAGCCAAACAGATGGAATCCAGCAATGTTCATTCCCAAACCGATGCCAGCAAGGACATCAGTTTTTCTCGCGGCTCCACCAGATTGGAAGCATCGCCTACAAGGGGGGCGTGCCGCGGACAGATTCTTTCCGATCGCCATGGGTTTATGGGAAGCCTGGGATCTTCACCTTGAAATGTCTGTGCCTTTTTGAGTTGGTGCCCCTTCTTGGTCTGCTTTAAAGGGAAACCAAGAGAAACACACACCCTTTTTGGGGTGCCCTAAAAAATCACCCAACCAAATACCCTTTGACGACCGAACCCCTTTGCCATGGAACCCAAATGCCTTCTCTTCAGGCTTGGTAATGTCTAGCCAACAAAACGATGAAACAGCTCCCCAAAACACCCCTTTTAAAACCGAACAAGGTGGTCAACCGGTTGGAAAGACAAAAACAAACCAGAACTGTCCAACCCACCCTTCAACCATTTTCCCTCCTCCCCCCCTTCCCCCCGTCCCCCATCCCCCCCTCCTCACCCCCCCCCCCCACGACCCCCCCCCCACTCCCAACCTCTCACCTCCCACCGCTCCTCGGGGGTCCACTGCTCGGTGGCCGCCGGCTGCGGAAGTACGCGGTCCTAGTCGCAAATGCGCGGTGGCTGGAAACCGGGAAAAAAAAAGAACAAAAATCAGATGGCTTCCTTGCGGTTCCCTCGAACCCGGATACAAAAAGGGGAGCGCTGAAAAAGAAAAACAACAACTCTGAAATGGGTGTGATTTTTAATAGGGGGCCCTTTGGTGGACATCCTTTAGGTGGATATTTATGTCCACCAACCACTTTGTTGACGGGTTCCCCATGAAACACATTGCCAAATTGAGCGCCCGGAATTGTTTCTGGTTCCGGTGATTTTTAGGGCTTCACCAATCCCAAGTCGTGCGCGATTTCGTCCACCCACCAGTATAAAACCAGGTGGAAGCCGCCTAACATGGCCATTGGGGTTCTTGGGCCCTCAACTGCATGTCCCACAGAACAAAGGAACCAAAATATGTCCATCCTGGAAAGATGAACCCAAATTACTTTGTGCTTTTCCACTCCAAAGAACCTCCATTCCCCCCCAAGCAAGGCGCCAACAAAATAAATGTCCCGCCCGGAGAAATCAACAAATACTCAATCTTCAATTGAAGTCTCCCTGATCTTCAAACGAAGAAGAGGTTGGGCAGGGAAAGGGACAGTCGTTCATCCGGGGCACCATTGGCCAAAGGGTTGAGGTTTAGTAAGTTACGGGACAGTCTTGGGTGGAGATCACCTTTTCATATCATAACATGTCTGATGGGTGTGACGGTCCAAAGATTTACAAAAGTCATTTTTTCAGTAAACCGGTGGACTCCGTCAAACTAAACAAACCTGCAACTGGCAACTAACCAACCCTAAACAAGCTAACCAACCCGATGGATTCTTTGACGAATTCTGAAGCAACGAGCCACATCCGGCATCTGGCGCGAATCCGCAGATGTCTCCTGCGCTGCCAGTTGGCTCTTGTGTGGCATGGGGATGCCCTGATCCTCCGGCACCTAGGTGCTCTCTCCGAAACATGGAATGCGCGGAATGGCGGGGAGCAAAAAATAGGAGGGTACTTGGAGCCTTCGGACTAGAAGGATCTGCCTCAACTTGAAGCAGAGGCAAATGTGAATCGAAACCCGTTAATGTCTGCCATGCTTCGCTTTTACCGGTCTGGACAAAAGAGGTTTTTGCAGCCCTTATCATAATCACCTCTTCCCTGGGCAACGGAACTTTACGGAATTGGCCTCAACAGTTCTAGGCGCTGCTCCATGTCGGGTGTGAACCCACACCAAAACAATGTGGATCGAGCTTGTGTTGACATTAAGCGTACAAAAACAACCCGGCGGACCGAAATTCGCGCTCGCGTTTTGCTGCTTTTCTGAAAAAGACTTGCGTTTCACCTCAGCGAAACGCACATTGAGTCCCCAAAAAACCTCCCAAAAAGAGGGCTCAGTTTTAGAGGCGTTTTGCGTTTTGCTGAAGCGACGCGCAAATTGTATCGCCCATTCCCTGCCTTCTCCTTTTGTACATCTTTGCGATCGCTACGACAGTTTGCTGCTCCACATCTCGCTGGCGCAAGACATAGCGCCACTGCCAAGACTTTACAGAAGAGGAGATGCGGGCTGCACGAAGGCAGCGCATTCGGGAGATATGCTTTGCAGCTTGACCAGGTAGAGTCGTGCCAGTGTGCCAGACGACCTTTCGCGCCCTCGAAAAAACACCTTTGGTCAGGCGTGCTTTTACGAAGCAGTCGAGCGGGTGCGCTTACCATGGTCAAGCGTGCGCGCAGTGTTATAACGCAGCAGTCGAGCGGGTGTGCTTGCAGTTGTCAAGCGTGCGCGCAGTATTGTACCACAGCAGTGCTTACCATGGTCACGCATGCGCGCAATGTTATAACGCAGCAGTCGGGCGGGGGGGCTTACCATTGTCAGGCGTGCGCGCAGTGTTAGAACGGAGCAGTCGGGCGGGTGTGCTTACCATTGTCAGGCGTGCACGCAGTGTTAGAACGCTGCAGTCGGGCGGATTTGCTTACCATGGTCAGCCGTGCGCGCAGTGTTATAACGCAGCAGTCGGGCGGGTTTGCTTACCATGGTCCGGCGTGCGCGCAGTGCTGTACGAAGTATACTTACCATGGTCAGGCGTGCTACATGCGGCTCTCATGGTCAGGCGTGCGCGCAGTGCCACGGCGAAGCAGTGGTGCGGGCGTGCTATGCAGGTTGCAGGAAAAAAGTGCACGCGGTTGAGCGCGGTTTCTGGTCCGCCAGCACAAACAACTAAGCAAACAAACAAACAAACAAACATGCAAGCAAGCAAGCAAACAAACAAACCAAAACAAACAAACAAATCAGCAAACCAAAACAAAACAAACAAACAACCAAACAAACAAACAAGCAAGCAAGCAAGCAAGCAAACAAACCAAAACAAACAAACAAATCAGCAAACCAAAACAAAACAAACAAACAAACAAACAAACAAGCAAGCAAGCAAGCAAACAAACAAACACACAAACACACAAACAAACAAACAAACAAACAAACAAACAAACAAGCAAGCAAGCAAGTAAGCAAACAAACAAACAAACAAACCAACCAACCAAACAAACATACAAACACACACACACAAACAAACAAACAAACAAACAAACAAACAAACAAACAAACAAACAAGCAAGCAAGCAAGCAAACAAACAAACCAAAACAAACAAACAAATCAGCAAACCAAAACAAAACAAACAAACAACCAAACAAACAAACAAGCAAGCAAGCAAGCAAGCAAACAAACCAAAAACAAACAAACAAATCAGCAAACCAAAACAAAACAAACAAACAAACAAACAAACAAGCAAGCAAGCAAGCAAACAAACAAACACACAAACACACAAACAAACAAACAAACAAACAAACAAACAAGCAAGCAAGCAAGCAAGCAAACAAACAAACAAACAAACCAACCAACCAAACAAACAAACATACAAACACACACACACAAACAAACACACAAACAAACAAACAAACAAACAAACAAACAAACAAACAAACAAACAAGCAAGCAAGCAAGCAAACAAACAAGCAAGCAAGCAAACAAACAAACACACAACCAAACAAACAACAATTCTACATTCCACTCACAATCTCTCCCAAAACGAGTTGCACCACAGAGACACGAGGCTCGCTTTTTGGAAACAAAACCGAAGTCGGATGCATCGATTTTTCCAGCCTCGTCCACTCCTCGTAGCTCGGCGTCCATGCCTCCCGAAAAGGCTGAGACGCGGCAAGGGCAGTTTATTATGCTGGGGGAGCCCCTTTCGCGTCATGTTTCCTCCTCCCTTCAAATCCCAAGGGGGTCTACAAGAAGTAGGGCTCTATGCTGGCAAAAATCCTGGCGTCTTGAGAAACATCCCAGGAGAGCACGAGCCAACTTCAAAGCAAAGCAATTGTTGACTGGCTGACTCGTTTTTGGTGTGTTTCTGTGCGTGTGTTAAATCGGGGGGAGCCCAAGAAGCTCCAAGGCAACAAACAAGACATGCGGGAAACGACAGGTTTTGTGATTTCCTTCCCTGGGGTTGCCAGCCCCCGAGCCCTGAAAATGGAGCTACTGGCCGTCAGTGATTCCAATGTTGAACAAGGTACAGCTTGTCATGATAAGCACCTGAAGCGATCCTGACAGGAACCGTGTCACAACCCGAAAGGCTCGTGTCGCGATTTCATTCGCCCGCTGAAGTACCTGGCGTCTCCATGAACTTTTCACAATGAGGTCATATGCCATGATGTTAGGCTTCATGACCCCTATTTAAAGGCCATGACCTTTTTTAACAGGACTCGTGACTGCTTTTTGTAGGACATTCACCATTTTTACAGGAGTCATGGAGGGTCGCGTAACCTCATTCGAGTCAACGTCCCGTGCCTAGACCAAAGCCGCCGGCCTGACGCGACGGGCTGCCGAAACACGTGGCGTTTCTTCTCAAAGTCAACTGGCCCCAATACATATTTTACCAAACTTACCCCCGAAGTGATAGGTTCAAGCCCAACATAGCATACATAGCCGCAAAAATCAGAGTCAACATACTGACAGGTCAACTGGTGGCAATTCAGTCTGGATAATCGCTCACATGTGTCTTTGGTTGTTCTCCCATCATATTGTACGGACATGCACGGAACACCATGGTTTTGTTACTTTACGGTACCCTTTTTTCAACAATCATAGACACACACACACATACACACATTTGTGTGAAAGGCATGCGAACACGAGAAAGGCGCTTCTGGGTGAACACATGTTTGGTTGCATAGTTTTTTAGCAAGATGGCAGCCTTTGGAACCCTGGATCGTCATGACTATTGGAAAGAGGCTAGACTGTTGGCCCAGTCTCATATTGTTTTCCCCCAAATGCGTGACACAAACAGACAACACAAATGTAAGCACCATGCTCGCAAACAATGAACTCGGCCTTTGAACCGTTCTGGCGCCATGGACATCTGACAAGCAGTGCAAGAGGCCTCTGCACACTCCCAATTCCCAGAAGCTGCGACATGAAGCGGTAGAGCAATGACCAACGACGCAAACAACGACGCAAAACACACACACAAACCAGCAAAGCAAAGGAACCCGATCTGTAGAGGAACCCCCCTCAACCCCTCACCAAAATCAGGCCAACTAAGGCCAGCAATGCCTTCATGGGGTGGTCTCAGTCTCTAGTTTCTGGGATCTTGCATCTGGCAACTGTTCAATACATATTCCCAATCTGCACAAAATTTGGGTGCATGACAACGGTTCATCCACACTCAAGAAAGGAATTGCTTGAAGGTTGCGCTTTCATTTGCCCTATCGAATTAGGTACTGCACGTCACCAAGTCTCGACAAGGAATCTTGATCATGGGTCAGCTCGTTTTGGCCCCAGTCGAGCCCGCTAAAAAACATTTGGACGGAGCCGAAGCGAGATGCAATTTGACATGCTCGTGATCAGCTCCATTCCCCTGTCGCCCGAAGGATGCATCTCAAAGTAGGGAAACCTCAAGGGTGGATTTCGTTCAGGTTTTCTCAAAAAGGTCCTCTCAAAAAATGACGCACCCAAAAGGAAACCAAGAGTGAGCCAGCCAAAGTCTTCAAAGCCTGGGCAGCTAAGAAATACTCCACCAAATGTCGGAGCACTGTGGATTTGTGCCCCAAGTGACTTGGAACCCCTCTAATCAAAACGGGTTTGATCCAAATCACCTGGGGTGCTGGTGTCTGCCTGGGGCCAAGAACTGGTCGGTTTCCTCCAAAGGGACACGCCTGCGGCCAAAGCCGCTCTGACGTTCCCTCCGTCTCAGCTTGTTCTGCATGGGCCAAAAGCAAGTGCGCGCTGTCCACCAAGTGCGGCTTCAGCGTGGTCTCACTGGGAGGCTCCGAGTAGAAAACGACATTTGATCGGTGGACCAGTTAACATGAGCCCTTCCGCCCAAAACTTTTCTGTCCTGGGCATCCTCGCCGTGCTTCTTGGTGGTGTTCTTCACTAGTAACTGGATTCCTTTAACTGTCTTGCCACTGGCCATGGAAACAATAACACCTTTCTACACTTGTGTGGTGCTTTGCGGGCGGTGGTTTAAAGGGATCCCAAAATGACGTCAGTCTCCTTTTGTTTAGCCTTCAACACCGATCAAACGAGAGGTGGGGTCCCAAATTCACCGGGACTTGAACCAGTTTTGCAGCATGATTAGACTAAGACCCAGTTATAGAATGCATATTCTATTGATTGCTTCCCTTCGAGTCACTGGTAAAATGTAAAATGTATCCTACGTCTGCCCCAGTCAGGTCCTGTCAACTAGGTCCTCCAGTACAGAGCTTATAATAAGTGTTTCCTTTTTCCGTGGTCAATTTTCGTAGTGGAACCCTCCCCCAAAAAGGGTTTTCAGGGCACCTATCTGGCAAACCTAGTCAAGTTGTCCCAAGAGACGCACCTCGGAGGCGCCCACCATGGGCATCGCGGAGTAGGCCAAGGCGCCCTGATGTGGCCATGGGCTTTTCAAAACCCAAATCGGTTAGCCCAAATCCGACTCAATCCAACCACAATCGGAAGCCTAAAATGGGTGGTGAATTCACCTAGCAACCAAAATGGGATCCAAAACAGTTTTGACCCACAGCCATGTGTTGGGAGCGGAGTGGTTGGGCACCCACGGTGGAATCTCCCACAAGGAGGCTTGGTTGACGTTGGAAGGGGAGCAAAATTTGAGAAATGTTGGAAGTTAAGTGGTTGCCCAGAGGATCTGAGTGTGCAAATAGACACAACTCAGCCTGAAGTCAATAAAACTGGGCACTTGTTGCTGAGACTGGATTTGGGGGGCCAAGTATGCTCTCAAGACATGTTCGAGGCCTTGGAAGCCATTTTGGCTTTTGGAGGGTGGTGATAGCTCAAGGATGCAGGCTTTTTACTTCGGATGCCGGCGTGAGACCAATGGTGCGCCCGTCTTGCCATGTTCTGCACGCAAGCATGTGCGTTGGTATGATGTGCAATCTAGTGCCAGCTGTGCATCACAAGCTTTCCCGACCGGATCCGGAGCGCCCCTTCAGCTCAAACACGACGCTAGCGTCCTGCAGGGCTGGTCTGCCAGCAATGGTTCGGATTCAAGTGAAGGATGCGGGTGATGGCAAGCAGGTGCTCACGCCACTCAAGTTTGCGGTGTCTGCAACTGTTTTGCAATTTGTCCGTAGCCTCCTGATTTTTGATTGATCACCTGACTTGAAACACGATTAGGCAAGCGCCCTGGAAATCTATGATGCTATCTTGCCTGCTGTCTCTGCCCAGCTGGTCAGTATCCGCAACAGCAAGGATGCTAGACATCAATAATTTGCCAGTTGCGATGAAACAATTTACATTGGCTTGGGTACCACCGGTCATGCCAACTTGCCATTCCACATTGGCTTGGGATCTAAGGACATGTCAGTGATAAACCTGGAAGAAGCACAACTGAAGGTGCAAGACATAGCGTGCATATGTTGCTGCAGCACGATTGCATGTTGTTAGAGACACCCGTGTACGCATGGACTGTGCCCCGTGTGCTCAACAAACCGTAGGTACGCGAGGACGACCTTATCCGGAACTATGAGATCATGAAGGTATACACGGTGCAATTCGCTGGCTGTCCTTTGCCCACAGTCCAAGAGCACAAAGTTGCTTAGCTTCCTATGGCTGGTGAACGCATGCAACAACTTGAGCTTGAACTGCTGCTAGCTGGTGAGTGCATGCTAAATATCCTGAGGTGGCAATGCTGTATTTGGCTCTTTCTCACCATCTCTACGTGGATTCTGATGTGGCGAAGAGGGGCTGGAAAGGAAGGATGAAGGCGTCTTGACCTGTCACAGCTAACGTTCTTCAACATTCACTTGATTTCATTTCCCGTCCCCAAATTATTCACTGGAAACAGCTTTGTGTCAGGAGTGGGCGGCTCTGCATGGAGCTCGCCTGAGGAGCCTGGCGGCCTACCTTGGCAGGGTGTGCTGCCGTACTGCCAGTGCGAGGCTTCTTGGCAGTACTAGTGTTAAGCTTGAAGCCATGAACGTTTTAACAGGTTTCCAAGTTCAACCTTGGGAAGATGGCTAGCCCGGCCCAAAACGACATGCCTCCATCTCCCCTCCATCTCCCCTCCATCTCCCCTCCATCTCCCCTCCATCTCCCCTCCATCACCCTGTCCTGACTTCTGCGTGTGGCAGCTCAGGAGCATTGAGACCTCAGTACTCAAGCGGCTCTACTTGCAAGTCAAAAGTGCCCGCACTGGTGGTGAGGGTGATGGCGAAGTCACAACAATTCAGGCGATGCTATAACCTCGTGTGAACTTTTGCACTTGCATTGGTGCGTTGGCCACTGCAATGAATTGTCAAATTGCTTCTGGCAGGAGGGCTGCTCCCGGGAATCCCTTGACATTGAGTTTGAACATCCAGAAGATGCGGATGCAGGGATTGAGAGTGGAGATGAAATTGAAGAGGTGATTTTGGAGGAGATGAGTCACAACACCATGCGACACGGGCAAGTTTCCAAATTGATTTTCATTCCTGCAGGACTTGCAGGCTCCTGATCCGGTTCCCCATGACTTGCAAGCTCCTGATCCGGTTCCCCATGACTCGCAAGCTCCTGATCCGGTTCCCCATGACTCGCAGGCTCCTGATCCGGTTCCTGATGAAGCTCCTGCTAAGGATCCAGCGGTTCCCATTGATGCTTCGGGCAAGGAGGTCGACCAGGCTGAGGTTGATGGTGGCAATGGCGGCGCCTTCAAGGATCCAGCTTTTGATCACGCATGTGCACATGTACATCTAATGTACATGTGCTCGCACGGAAGTAACCTCCAACACGGGTCAACTAGACAAAGGCGCCCTTTTGTCTTTTGTTTGAGTGGTTTTCCCATCAAAAAAGGGCGCTTGTTAAACTGAACGTTTGCAGTCGTTTGACCTTGACTTTTGTGGTAGCTAGGACCGAGCCCCTCTTCTCCCAGCTGCTGGCTATGAGCGGTTTCCGCTGCAACTTTTGGCGACCCCTCAAGCCTACAACGGGTTGGTTGATGACCAAGCCAATCTGCGCAAGAACATACGTAAGGACAGCGCATGCACGTTTATATTTGTACATATATGCACTTAACGTTGCTGCTGCATGGCTGTGCCAGGAAACTGCTGAGCATACTGCTGCTTCTGGTGGCCGAGGGCGAGGCAAAGGCCGTGGCAAAGGTCGTGGAAAAGGCCGCGGAGGTGGCAAGCCAGCGAAGAAGCCTGCAGCGAAGAAGGGCGCCAAGAAGACGCTGGTGAAAAGGACTCGGGAGGAAGGTGGGAGCAAACGTAATGAGCATGTGCACGCATGATGAGTAGCAGATGATGAGTGTGGAGGGTATGCATGTAGGTGATGATGATCATGATCATGAAGAAGCACAGGATGAGAAACCTGAGCAAGCTGAGCACCCAGAAGCAGCCAACCCTGCACTTGCACCTGCGCCCAACTCTGCGTCGCAGCCGGCCCGGAAAAGAGCTGCAAGCAAACGCGCAGCGCCGAAGCCCAAGCCCAAGTCTGCGCACAAGCGGACCAACGCAGCGCACGCAGATGACAAGCAGCAGGAAACAGACGCGAAACAGCGGACACTGAAAAGGCAACAGTCGGACACCTGCTGGTCGCAGGCAGAGCTCCATGAAACTGCCAAAGAGGCGCGTCAGACCAAAGCAGATGCAGCGCTTGCAGACCTGAGACGCCTCCACATCCCTGAGCTCTACCCGGAGCCAAACTTCAACAAGAAGAGTCTTGAACATACATGCACACGTGTGTGTCGGTGTGCGTGGCTCTTAAGTCTATATTCACGTTAACGCGCGAGAAGTCCACAGCTGTGCGTGTGCGTGTGTGTGTGCGTGTGTGTGTGTGTGTGTGTGCGTGTTTGTGTGTATGTACGTGCAATTTGAGTGGGGGTTGGATGTGTACACGTGGGTAGCTCTATATGTTTGCATGCGTGTGCATCTATATCTGAGGAGCTTCTCCGTGTTGCCACCACGTGACACGCTGCCCGACTTGAACGCCAAGAGCATCGGGGTGATCCTTTACACTAGGAGCTTCTACGTGCACAACGTGATTCGGGTCGATGCTTCGCACAAGGCACGCTGTGCATATGCACACATGCATGACATTCAGCAGATGTGCAATCGATTGGCGTAATATATATGTACGTATACTGTGAACATGCCCAATTTGCACAGCTCGAGGTTGACAAGCAGAACGGGGCGACTCTCAGCTGGGCCAAGTTCCCGTCGATTACAAATGCGCAGCTTGGTTGAACATTGGGTTCAAAAAGCTCGACATGATGAACCAAATTGAGCTCTTTCATTTCAACCCGGTTCCGATGAGTTAAGGTGGCTCACGGCAACAGAAATGGCTGGCTGGAGGTAGAATCAGGCCGGCTTTGTATGCATGCATGTGCGTGACAATCACACATATATATTACAGAACACACACATCCGCGCACCCTTTCGAACTGCGCCCTGTCCAGGCCTTCCTGGTGACGAATGTGGTCGAGATGATTTGGCGATTTTTGGCCTGGCGACGTATGTGGATCAGGGGTGTGCTGGGATTTCCAAAAGTTGATCCCAGGCCATGAATTGCAATTGGGGGAACCCCGGAATGATGTGCCAATTTCACATCCATGGGTGCTTTGTGCCACTCAAGCAAATATCTAGAGAATCATGTCAATTAACAAAATAAGCTGGAGATTGCATTTGGTCCACCCGCCACAAAAGCTAAAAACATGTTGACGCGCAAGTTGGTTTGCTGAAGTGGCATATCATGCACCCTTGAACCCGGGATGAATTTTATCTGGCAATTGCCCGCGTGTGCTGCTAATCAGAGCCTTGCACGGACATGCTGCTTGAGAATTCTAGCTCCGGTATCCCTGGTGAGTGGTATTTGGTCGACCCATTTCTTCCGTGCATTTGAGGAGTGTACAAATTACACATGATGCAGCGCATTATAAAATTGGGCACGTTATCCCAGCGTGGGGTTTTAGCCACGCGCCAAACTCTTGACTAGCCAATGGGGAACCCTGCAGGTCTCAAAGATACATAGTTTAATCTGGGGATCGCAGTTGCTCTGAGCAGCGCCGCACGGTGCCTCGAAGTAGTGGATGTCGACATGACCTGACGGTGCGAGGCTGTGTCGAAAGATCTTTTTGCATGATCTGTCTCAATTGATGGGCCCAGGGACTGCTTTAAAAATGATGGGGATAGGGTCATCCAATAAACTGCGTCACTGGCGAATTGGGGGAGGTGAGCCACTACACGCTTGACCAAATCCCGAAACACAATCCAGTTCACTTCGCGAAGGTTCAAAATGGATCTGGGAGTTTGACACAACCTTGTTTTTGCATATATGAACTCAAGAAGTTGGTTCGATTGTGGGATACTTTTTTGGGATCCACATCTGGCTGAACCCTTGACTCCAGATGTTGGTGAAACTTGTGACGTTGGTTCTGACTACAAATTGTTC